TGGTTGAAAACTACAGACCTATAAATATCACTCCAGTCATATCACGCATAATGGAAAAAGTGATACAAAATCAACTATCTGATCACCTACTCAAGGAAGATCTAATAGACCCGTCACAACACGGCTTCATTAGAACAAGGTCGTGCAGTACATGCCTGATAGACTTCTTTAACGAGGTTACTCGTATGCGTGACCAGAAGAAACTAGTTATTATACTATACTTCGATATTAAGAAAGCCTTTGATAAAGTACCTCATAATCTTCTAATCAACAGACTGAAGTCAGTTGGAATTATAAATCCCCTTTTGCAATGGATCAAGTCTTTTCTTACGAACAGATATCAAATAACCAAGATTAACTCTAATACATCTACACCTCGACCGATAACCAGTGGTGTTGTGCAGGGTAGTGTCTTGGGTCCATTGCTCTTTATAATCTACATCAACAATATATGCAGGTGTTTTAGCACAGGTAAGACCTACCTCTATGCCGATGACTTAAAAGTCATCTATAAAACTGACATTTGCGATTTACGCAGTACTATGCAAACAATCCAACATGAACTCAACATGGTAGATGACTGGTGCAAACGCTGGAGGTTAGAGCTCAACATAGAGAAATGCGGCTGGTTATGTATAGGAGACACGTCTCTTAAAATGAAACTAACACTTAGCGATCACACACTGCCCAGACTGGCATCAGTAACTGACCTAGGGGTACATTACTCACACAGTCTTAATTTCTCTGAACACATCTCAGCCAAAGCATCCAAAATGCGGAAATTGCTTGGCTTCATTCTCCGTAATTTCTATCAAAATGAATCTAAAATCCTTCTTTACAAAGTTTGTGTAAGACCTATCGTTGAATACTGCTCGTTCTTATTTTCCAACCTACGTCTATCTGATATACTAAAGGTGGAAGGAATACAACGAGACTTCACCCGCAAAGTACTTAAGACTGACTCGGTCATTGACTACAGTTCTCGATGCCAAATCTTAGGAATAGCACCCCTTTGGGAGAGAAGGCTTAGGTCTAATTTGATTCTCTACTTCAAACTACTCAAAAACCTTACTTACTCAACATGTCAGATAATTCTTGCCCGAGATTCACATGAATACGACTTCGAAACAAAGTATCTACGGTCAAAGTTGAGAAATACAGATCAAAAACTCGGGAAAACTTCTTCCTCACCAAGTATGCAATAATATGGAACAGTCTTCCCTCCGAGACTCGCATGGCAGATGAACTACATACGTTTGTAAAACTGCTTGATCAAGCCCTCACTCGCACTGATCTTGCACGTACGAACACATCTGCACCCCACTCAGACATCATAGGCTCTCTCCATGTCTAGACCAAAATGGACTTCAAGTTCAGTTTGCCTTATTTTTCCTACTTTGCAGTTGTATTAATTACTTTTTCCACCCCATTTCTTCACTTGAAGTAGACAGGTAACTCACTGGACCTATCATTACTGTTAAACTAAACTCGGTCGATAAGGGACACTCACTACCACCCTAAAAAGTCAAGAGGACCCCACAATCGGCTGCCTACTACCAGTGGTCTTGCATCTATGGAGCCTGTTACCAATCAACTGGTTAAGACAACAGAAAATAACATCAGCACCAAGTTACTGTGAGTTCCTTCCTGTTTATCCTGTATTAACTTTTTACTCTTCTGTACACTATGTTGACTAGCAATTAATATTATTTCTCCACTCGTTCCCTTATCCACAACTCATATACTTCTATACTTTTTCCGCCTGCTTAAATAAACAACTATCCTACAATATACCCTTCTTAACGCTTATACTCTGTTTGGCAAACTATACTTTATACTATAGTCAACAGAGGCACTGCATCGATGCTTTACCCACAGTCCATAGCTTGTAACTGCCTGATAAGCTTGTAAAATGGTACTTATAGAAATAGTGCTTTCCAACAAGTTGTGAAACAGAGGATTGTGTGAGGTATGACGTATATACAAAAATAAGCCTAAATGAGCCTAACATCACAAAAGGAGGGAGGGTGGAGTTACTGACCAGCAAGCATTGATGGTGAGGGCGATAACTTCAATCCACCCGTGTTTGTGGGGACAGAACATTTTGTATGTATCAGGCTCTTTATAATTGAGAATAAGACAGTCAATCTAAGATATAGATTGTCTTCCTACGCTCACCACTCAGACTCATGTTTCCAATAATATGCTGGATTAGCTATTCTACTAAGACAACCTATAACATGCTAACTCGGACTTTTACACTAGGATTGCGTGGCTGACATCGGATGGACAAAAAAGGAAAAAAAAAGATGACGAAAGATATAGTCACTAGTATTCTTAACACTTCACCCTCTATATACACACCCTTCTAATAAACCGCTTCCCTTGTACCAACCTTGACTTCCCTTCCTTCATGTGAGCTTACTCCAACTTGTTAAACATCACAACTCGTTGTTCTTTATTAGTACATTCTCTAATATGGAGCCTCTGACTTCACTTCACTCTAACAAGACATAGTATGAATTTATTCTAATTTATTATACCTCTGTCCGTTCTACTACACAATGTTAAGCAACCTTTGGCGTTCATATCCAAGTGCCTTGCTGCTCCTCTGTTTCTCTTTTTTTTCTTCTTCAGAATCTTGCTCTGAGAGCACAGCTATGAAACTTCTGACGTTTGGAGCAAACTTGACGTACGCGTCCTCTCAAGGTCATAGTTTACAGCAAGCGCTCTACGATTTCACTTTATAACAACTATAAACTTAATAAGTTGGGAAGCATTTTGCGAACCAACAAATGTTGTAATTCATAGATCATGCCTGTAAAAACGGTGTGTACCTGCACATGCAGAAATATATTATTATTATTATTATCCGATTGAATTCAATTCATCTCTCCTGCCTTCTCCATCGTTGGTCTTCTCTCCGTGTCAAATGTCGAATATTTATTTTCCCAATTATCTCATGTTCAGCTTTGAGGATTGTGTGCTTAAGGCCCAACGCCACTACGATTACAGAGGTTGGATTAGCAAGTTGTTAGTTACTATGTCTCTACTCTCCGATTTATTAGGCGAACTGATTCACGCCTCTTTCTATGCACTTGGCATTTTAGACTGCCGAAAAGTCATTTCAAACAGTATGGTGGAGATTCAGCGGACACATCCGTCAGGGCCTTCACAATTTTATGATAAATACCCTACGTCAATCAATTACCAAGACTGCTTAAGTCATCGGAGTTTCTGCTTGCAGATGATGTCACAGTCGGAAGAACAATAAATAGTGAGAGTGCTCATATCAATCTCCAAGTCGGATTAAATGATTTATTCTGGAGATCCTAGAGTTGGAGATTCTAGACTAACTGTAGAAGGAATGCACCAATGTACGTTAGGCATGGTAACATTCATTAGTATACTTCCAGTAGTACATTGATCCCACAGGCCCAGGAAGAACATAAATAGGAGTGGTAATGATTCATGGCTTGTCAACAGCTGCGACTTGTAATGTATTACTTGCCAAAGATTTTTGAAGGATATGGTCAATTCGTTGAGCATCTGAATTCGTTGATGAGGATGCGTTTCGAATTTTGTGCCCTACTTATGTGAGATGTGAGCAGCTAGTCCATTCCACATTGAGGATGCCAGCACACCCAATTGTGTTCAACGTATGTAAACCAAGTGACTGATAGGTCTTCCTATATCCTTCACTAATGAGTGATTAAAAGTGAAGATTCCACAGGTATTGGGAACTTGAAAACGCCTTTACACGCAATACTTTTATGATCGGAGTATACGATATGTTGAGAAGCGTTTGATCTTAGCTGGTTAGCATTTACAATGGATGAGTAGAACGATATAGCCACTCGTGATCTGGTGCGATGGCATGACCGAGAACCTACGACTAGGTCAGCATCAATGTCGAGGGTGGACAGAACAGTTGGTTTCAGGGGTTTGTTTACCGCTATAAAATGTTTAAACTTCTTTCCTTCATCCTTGGACGCGAGATGACCCTATACCGGCATTCCGTATCAATAATAACGATCTGGGTGTTAAACTGTTTAATCTTTACGTCCCCTCTAGAACTAGTTCTTTCCGAGGCCACACTAATAAAATCTAAAACCACGATCAAATAAACTAGGAGTGGGGTCCCATTTCACAATGCCTGGAGCACCCTACCACACTACATTGCATTAACTACACCAGTGAACATCTTCAAAGAAAAGCTGAGTTTCTACTGGAAAATAAATTGGAAAAGCTAACTCAGATCAATCAATTTACTATCCATATTTCCGAAGACTGATCTTCCTATTTCTTCAAGAGGAAAATTGATATATTTTTAAGAATTAAGGACTGTGTCTCGTAACAGTTTATTAGTAAGTCTCTTCTGCTTGTAGCAAACACCTATGTGTTTTCCTGGAAGCATTATTGATCGATTTCTAATAGAAATGACAAACCCTAGAGTGAAAGCATTTTTACTCGGTCCAGAAACAAAACTAAGAGTTAATACCCCAAAAGTGGAAACACAACTCAACGGAACGAACTACAAACATAACTTCTACCTCTTAAGAGTAGCCAAGTGCTGAAAATTCACTAACGGCTGGGCTAGTCCAAACGACTTCCCAAGAGTCCTTTAAAAGAAAACTTGACATATTCTCAAGGACTTAGGATAGCATCTTACTATGATTCACCGACTTCTTTTTCCTCTTTTATCGACAATATACCCATGTTCTTGCATGGGGTTATTGATGATCCACAGCTATTAAACACAGAAGCCCGTTAAGGGAAAACTTCTATTCCTTTCACATCCACTTGGACCATTCGAGGTCTAATACTAAAAGAAGTGGGATGGTTAGTTTAACCAAATCAAAACAAACTATAAGCCTTCAAAAGTATACTAGGGAAACATAAGTTATCATCATTCTATCTTTTAATCACAGTGTTTGAAAATCTATGAATTTAAGTGCGATGTGCAACTTTACGGATGGCACTAATTTAAAGTCAAGGACATTTCGATGTGTCCAGCCATAAATCCAGATTTGTCATTTCCGAGCATCGTATGTTTAAACCTGCACATAATTTACCATTTCAGAAATCGAATTATGGGGTAGCGTTGTTGGACCGATTGACGAAGAGTGTACTTGGAATTCCTACTCCTGAAACCGAGTTAAAACCTCAAAAGTTAAAAGAACATTTTGAGGGTGCGTTGTACGAACTGTTTTTACTCAAGTCAAGGCTGCAAGAAAAATGTTCCCAGATGGAGGTGAGTCTTTTTAGAAATGGCGTCTAATTTTGTATTTATTGATCAGATGGTTACTTACGTACTTACGTCAGTTACCTTTCATAAGAGCGTAGGCCTACGACCAAGGTTCTTTAACCGACCTTGTCCCTAGTTGCTGTTCATTCTCTTGATGTGTGCTACCGATTCTCGACTCAATGTTTTCTCGGGTCCTCTTTTCTTTTTGCCTTTAAGGATTCCAAGTAAGGACTAGCTTCATGATGCAGTTTGAAGATTCCTGCAATGCGTGTCCTATCCGCTTCAGTTTCAGTTTCAGTTTGGGAAGGACAGGAGGCTCGATGGCCTATGTTAGTCCTGGCAATGGTGGTCTCTCAGTTGATCCAACTTTCTTTTGAAAGAGTCGACGGATGGAGCCTCAACCACGTGCTGAGGTAGTGAATTCCACTCGTTGATGATTCGATGGGAAAGTCGATAGTCAGCTGACAAGTAATTTGTTCTCGGCTTGTGAACTTTTTTGGAGTGTCCTCGTAAATTCTCTGTTTTGGAAGACAAGAAAAATGTGGGCATGGGCAAATTAAAAAAATCACTAAGCAATTTGTAGACTGTAATCAAGTCGCCTCTAGTTCTGCGATATGACAACGGGAAAAGGTTCAGCTTGGCCAGTCGAGATTCATACGGAAGCTTCGCTATTCCGGGAACCAGCTTAGTCGCCGTTCTCTGAACCTTTTCCAGAAGCTCACTGTCTTTTTTAAGCAGGGGCTAGCCGCTTGTATGCAGTACTCAAGTTTAGGACGAACGAACACTGTATACAAAGTCAAAAACGTCTTAGCGTCGACATGACTAAAAGCCCTACGTATTGACCATAACGTTCTAAAACTTTTGGCGGCTATTGCACGGCAGTGTGCAGTAGTCTTTAAGTCTTGACTAACGATAACTCCTAAGTCATTATATGTCTGGACGACAGGTAGCTCAGTGTTATTCATCGTGTATGTATCTGTGCCTTGATGACCGATATGCATCACAACACACTTGGAAGTATTTATCGGCAACTGCCATGTTTGAGACCATTCAGATAATTTCTTCAGGTCATTTTGAAGTTCTAAGCTATCACTCTTACATCGTATCGTTTTCCATATCTTGACATCGTCAGCATATAGCAAGACCGATGATGATAGGAGACAAGGAAGGTCATTTACATACAAGAGGAATAGCACTGGCCCCAAAACTGTACCCTGGGGCACTCCACTAAGCACAGTTTCCCAGCTAGATAACTTTGAGTTCACCCGAACTCTTTGTTGACGCCCAACTAAGAAGTCTTTTATCCACATCAATAAATTGCCTCCAATCCCGACTTTTCTTAACTTATATAACAGCCGGTTGTGCGGAACTTTATCAAAAGCTTTACTGAAATCAATGAAGGCGACGTCTACAGGTAGCTTTTGGTCCTTAAGAGCGCACCAGCTTTCACGAGCCACTAATAAGTTAGTGAGACAAGAATAACCTATTCTGAAGCCGTGCTGCTTCTCCGAGAGGATCCGGTTTTTATCGAGATACTTAAACAGCTCCTTCCGAATAATCTTTTCTAATATTTTAACAACCACACTAGTTAGGCTAACGGGGCGGTAGTTCTCAGGTTTGTGTTTCGTGCCTGTTTTGAAGACAGGACTTACTATGGCGTTTTTCCAATCTTTCGGTAAGCGACCCTGCGTAACGGATAGGTTAAAGCATGTACTTAAAGGGCTTGCAACGAAGTTAGATAATTCCTTCAGTAGCCTAGGATGTAATTCATCGGGCCCCGTGGATTTACCTATGTCAAGCTTATTTAGCAGACCAAAGACATCGAGTTCTTTAATGGTCACGCTATCCAGTGTATGTATGGGGGGATCTGTATACGCTGACGAGAAGGGCGCTTCTATGGTATACACGTTGCTAAAGTAGTTCGAGAACGCTTGAGCCTTACCAAAGTCGTCCTCCACTAATGATGAAGCAGTACTGTCTCCCCATAGAGCAGGAATATTTCCTTTTCTCCTTGTCCTTTGGTTTATATAGGAATACAAGCGTTTAGGACATTCTATGGATTCCTTAACAAGTTTTTCTTCGTACAATTTTCTAGACTTACGGAGGGTCGAGGCACAAGTGTTCCGAGCCTTTCGATACTGAGATTTTGACTCATCAGTCCCCAGTAACCTAAATCTATCCCACATTTTCCTTTTCTTACGGAGAAGGATACGGACCTCCCTACTGAACCATGGTGGTGAGTTTTTCGGCCCCTTTGGTATAGTCCAAGGGATGTGAGGTGTGGTAACTTTTAAGTATGAATTTCGAAATGCGTCCCAGGCCGTTTCAATGGAGGACTCTGGGTCTATTGTCCAATCTATTAACGATGCTGAGTGCATGATGTCTGGTATGTTTGCTTTCCAGACGTTGGGTCTGGACTGGACTGACGCGTCCTCATGACTGGCAGTTATATGGAAGTCGAAAGTTAAAACTGCGTGGTCACTTTTACCTAAGGGTGGCATATGATGGAGGTTCGCAACATCATCCTCATAGTGAGTCAGTATAAGATCTAATAAGGATGATTCAGTGTCCGGATCGTACCTTGTCGCTTCTTTCACATGTTGCACTAGAGCACATGTGATAACCGCATCAACTAGTTCCTGCTCGAAAGAATTCTCCGACGATTTAGTTCGCAGATTTTCCCAGTCTACCATAGGTGCATTAAAGTCCCCTAGGATTAGACATCGACCACTTTGGGACCAAGTATTGAGACTGCTTAACAGGATCTCATTTGCCTCACAGCTTGGACTGCGATAGACCAAACCAATCAGCAGCTCTTGTCCCTTGCATTTTAAGCGAAGACTAACTAATTCACACGTCCCACTCTCATGGGATACACTATCGATAATGGTAAATGGGATAGCATTCCTAATGAATAGAGCTACTCCCCCTCCTTTGCGCTTTTGTGTTCTGTCGGCCCTTACTAACGTAAAGCCCTCGAAATCAAGTTCTATACTATCTATAGCCTGTGTCAGCCAGGTTTCTGTTACTGCGATTATATCTGGCTTTGTAGAGTCAATCTGTACACCTAGTTCCGATCGCTTATTAAGTAAGCTTCGTGCATTGGTGTAACAGATCCGAAGCCTGTTTAAGTGCCTTCGTGCTTCACCCAGAGTGGCTTCGGCATCATTCTCTGTCGAAGTCTTACAACCCGAAAATTTACAATTTTCAGGTCCTTTTCGCCAGCGTCTAACCTATGTTGTAGTTCTTTCTCGGCTTCCCGTCTTTTAACACGGTCTGCCAACGGTAGGTCCTTTCGGATAAAGACTCCTGAACCCTTTAATTTGTGTCCATTTTGTAAAATTAGGTCACGTTCGTTCGAAGAGCCGAATACTACTTTAAGCAGTCTGGAATGATTTGGTTTCGAGTCCGTTAGACTCCCTAGTCTGTACACCTTTAGCAAGGTGACCCCGGTCATATTTTGAGGCATGAGTTGATTAAGCAGCTGCCTAATCAGTACAATGTCATGCTCAAAACGAGCTTTAGGTTCAGAGCTATCGCTCTCCTTGATTCTATGAAAAATAGCTGATCTGTCGCTATGATCAGCTTTCGATTTTTCAACCACTCTTACGGGGGCAGGTTTCTCTTTTATATCCCTACTTTTCTTCCTTACAACCTTTACCCATTCGTCAACGGTGCTGGTAGAAGCAATAACAGTTGCGTCAAACCTAGTGTTGGGTTTTGGGGGGTTGTCGACGACCTGAGAGGTCGTGTTATGTTTACCGTTTGAAACCGATCGAGCCTTGCGATTGCGGCTTCTAGGTGTTTCCTGTTGGATCCCATCTGGAAGACGGGGAACAGAAGACCCTACTTTTCTTGAGCTTTTGTTTAAGGCAGGCCTCTTTGGAGACTGCTTTTCCTTCTTTGACGGGCGTGAGTCATCTATCACCGGACTAACCTTAGTTTCCTTCACGTTGATTTGCGTGTCGACAGATCGAGTGCTGTTTGACGCGTTCCGACTATGCTTGCTAAAACACTTCTTTGCAGCATCAACCAGTGAGATGGCCTCGGTTAACAAGCTGTTTGCATCCGAGCAGCACTGTTGACAAAGCCACACACAACCCTTCTTACTGAACCGTTTGAAAGCAGCAGGCGTTAAGTTCGTGCAAACTTCGTGGTACCAGCCTTTGCACTCGTCGCACTGCATGCCGCTTTCAACAGGATAACGACAACCCGGACGTTGGCAACTGCTTTTTTTACACTGTCCGGTCATTTAGGAGGGGTTCTTTTTTAAACTGTGATGATACTCAGAAACAAAAAAATTATCAATGACCAAAAGTGAAGAGCTGTAGATTGCTAGGACCAAAAGTACTAACAGATACAGTTGAAAAAGAGGTACTCAAGAGTACCAACGACAAAACAGTAAAAACGATACTTTAGTCGAATACTTTAACTGAAATAAATTCAATTAAAGTGAAAACAGTAGTCTTGATACGTAATAAACGATCAAAACAAACAAATTTACTCAGCGAGGAAAAATACCACTGTCCTTTCATCTTCATCTGGAAGTTGGTTTGTTTTCTGTCGCAGTAGGTTGTTGCTGATGTTATCCGACCAACAGATCTAGAGTATGTTGCATAGATAATTGTGCATAAATACCTTTACTTTTCTGGTAATGGTTGTAGTGGTTCTCTACGCTTCAGCTCCGTACAACAAAACTTTTCTAACGTTCTTGATGAATATGACTACTGGTTAGGTTCAAATATATAATGGTTTCCTAGCTCAACATGAAGTATATTCAGAGGTTGTTAATTTAAAAGGTTACTCAACGTGACTAGTTGAATATTTCGTGGTTTAAATCTTTAAAATGCATTGTAGGATGTTCGGCGCCTCCATTTTCCTCGCTGACTTTCTAGTGTGCTTAAAATTTATGTGTAAGCTTTGGGGATTTTGACCAGATTCAGATGCTTCAAACGTTCTAATTTTTTGGTTACCACGTTTTAATACAGATGAACGTCATGTGGCCTTGGTTAGATCTAAACGTTGTCATGAAATGTGGTCAACATTAACTATTTAAGACCAATCGTACAACTGATCGCATAAGTAATAACAACTGAAATATTCGTCCCTGAAATCTGAAGATTGTTGGGGTCAGATCTGAACACTGATTGCTTTAGGGAATTTCATTTACTTCTATAATCAATTATCTGTTTACGAACATGTTAGCCTCCCATAGTAGTACATTGGCTGTAGGCATTACCACTTAAGGGTTCCCAGTTTTAAGTTCAAGCATCATCTTTTCTCTAACACTTCTATTTTTAGTCTTAACTAATAAAAGCCTTGCATGTGTTAGGAACTTTCATCTGCTTTTGCAACCTCAAGTAGTATCCGTCAAGGCTGTCCACTTTCTCCATTTTTTTTCAACTTCATCATAGACCTATTGACGGAAATAACGCTCTCATCGACTGAACTCTCGGGCATTGATCTTCTACCAGTACAGGTCCACTTATCGACTTAGAATACGCAGATGACATAGTCCTGTTTGGTGAAGACGCTGATAAAATGCAGAGTCTTTTAGTAGCACTGAGCAACAATGCCAGGATGTTTGGAATGCGCTTCTCTCCCTCTAAATGCAAGTTGTTGCTTCAGGACTGGTCTGCGTCAACACCTGAACTAAGGATAGGGAGTGAAGTAGTCGAATACCTTGACACCTTCTTTTATCTTGGAAGTCTGATCAACCTTAATGGGTTGGTGTCTGACGAAATCTCAGCACGGATTCGAAAAGCCCGCTTGGCTTTTGCCAAATTACGTCACCTGTGGCGAAGACGAGATATCCGTCTATCAATAAAAGGACGAGTATACTGCGCGGCAGTCCGTTCTGTTTTAATTTACGGCAGTGAAACATGGCCATTAAGAGTAGAAGACACTCGTAAGCTATTAGTATTTGACCACAGATGCCTTAGAAATATTGCTGGCATCTGCTGGGATCACCGGGTAAGTAATAGTGAGGTTAGACGCAGGTATTAGGGAATGATGGTAAATCAGTTGATGAGGTTATGAATCTTCATCGACTGAGATGGTTGGGCCACGTGTTACGTATGCCTGAACACCGATTACCACGACGTGCAATGCTATCCGGTATTGGAGATGGTTGGAAGAAAGTTAGGGGCGACCAAACCAAAACGTGGCATCAGTGCCTGAAGTCACTAACATGTGGTCTGAGCCATGTTGTTAGATGCAGACTACTTGGTTGGGACCCGCACGACTATCGTAACCAATGGTTGGAGACTCTTGGTGACATGGCTCAGAATCGATCACAATCGCGTCGGTGTATACACTGTTTGTTTTCCCTTAAACTATGAGATTAAAATTATTTCATATCTTTCTTTTTATGAACCAGTTCTTTTTTTCTGTACCATATCCTTATATGCAATCTTTCTTTTATATATTACCACCACTACTTTGATGAATTCGGTGTTCATCTTGTTGTGTTAATGAGGTATGGCAACTTGGACCAATGCACATATGTGTCTAGTCCTACTTTGTAGCTGAATGACTGTTCTGTAAATACGATGTAATCATTTACTGAATATATGTTCTCTTCAGACATAATGGGTTTATATATCAACCAAACAGACGGCAACGCACCGTATGATAGGAAATAATATTTGTACACAATAAGGCCAAAAAGTGGCTGTAAACGCGGGAGGCAGTAGTCAATAAACTGAACATAGCTTAAGAACAGTAAATCTTACAATAATAAATTATAGGTCAAAATAAAGCTTATAACAAGGGGAATATAGATATACATAATCTAGTTACCTAATATTTATACCATGAGAATATATAAATAATAATAGTCCATTAATAAGTCTCAGACGTTACTCGTAATGTAATATTTACTAGGATATAACAGTAATCGCTCCAGAATTTCGACTTCATGACAATACATGTCGACCAAATATTATCTGAGACTGGTTACATAACCTTTTTTTAGTGGTTATTCTCGATTTCACAGTGTGTTTTGTAGATTTAAAACCTGACAAATAGCACATGAAGTTTTGTGTTGTTTCCAAAGCTGCCCTCTTCCAACCTCTCTGTGTAAAAAATAGTGTCTGGAAATGCTAGTTTCTCACTAGAAAGAGAGAGAAAGCTTACTCTTTCCAATAACTGGTGCTGTCAATTTACCACCTTGCTCAGATAGCTATGTGGTCCTACTAATTAGATTGCATCAGGCTGTTCACTCTCTTAGATGGCAACTATTCTTTAAACCTGTCGAAATGTTAAGCTATTGAAGATATTCTCGATAGCAACTGCTGCCAGACCTTAATAGTTAAAGTTAGTTGGCAGCAACCAATATATATATATATATATATATATATATATTGATACATCAGTTGTACATTCGTCACTTCCTCAAACAAAATCTGGAGTTGTTAGCAGTAATCTTTATCGGTATGGATATGAGTTTAGTTGATCTGTGTTTATTTTCTTGATTTGCAATACTATAAAAAACCAATCCCATTCTAAGTGTATCAAGGGAAGCTACTGATATAACCTGTTCTAGTATAGAATTCCAGTAATTAATAACATAATGAGTAGAAGATCATTCTCTCAGTTCTATGTAACATGGTTCAATCGTGACCGTGATTCTGCAAATATATCCATCGATTGTTTTACTTACAACCTCCATCCTACATTTACTTTACATTTTCCACTCATTCGTTTGTTTGTCCACTTTATCTTTGCTGCATCTCGTTCATTTCCTGTGATCTAGTACTTTAATGTATACTCGTTCAAAAAGTTTTGTGTCCCTATGCTGAAATATTATGGATGTCTTATTGTATATTATGAGACTAAAAGGTTTCTGAATCAGGTAATTATCATCTTAAAGTGATAATACATTGTAACCTCTAGCAATATCATTCGTTTTTGACTTAGGAAAACTAAGGATTAGGCTGAGTGGAAATAACGATGAATTTCACTGCTTATAACTTCCACGTACTTCTTATGGAAAGTATTATCATAATTACTTAGGTTTTTTGAACCTTCACAACACAGGTAAAATGTCGAGAGGATGAGCGGTCATTTCATTCTGCTATCGAAAGGTTAAAAAAGGATTTAACTGATCTTAGTCAGCAATTCTGCAAGTTAGATACCGAAGTTCATATGGTATCTGGAAAGTTGGTCCATTTAGGCGACCAGTTAGAAAGGAAAAACTTGCCAAGAAAACGAATTGAAGAGGCACGTGATTTGATACTTGAATTTTATAAATTCTGGGGTTTTGGCGGAGGAAGTGTCACCAATGTAGTAAGCGCTCAATCGGACGAAGCTCAGGTAAGTTACCTTTTGATATAACCTGAAGAATAAGCCTTGTTATGTTACGTGAATCAAATATTTTTCTTATATTTTCTAATAGTCAGAATATCCTATTTTCTCCATATGAGATGCCTAAAATTCACAATCAAAGCAGCGTACTTCAATGTACTTTGTTGTACAAATAATTATTTCTTTTAAAAGAGTGGGAAAAGTTCGAGCAGATTGACATGAATCCATTTTATTTCGTCTAGTTCTCGTCAGCTACTTACAACCTATTATATTTATCTTCTAGATTAGTGGTCTTTTTTTCCAGATAATCTGACTTATTTTATTCCTACTTATTAAAGTTTACTTACCATATAACCACTTGCTTTTAACCTGTAGACTTTTGTTACTACCGATTTTATTGAACCTTCTTTTAAGTATGATATGTATTTACAACATTGTATTTTGTCTGTTAAATTCACGCACACCCTTGCTATACCATACTGATGTGTGATCGTATCAACTTCTTAGATTTCGTAATTGATCGTGAAACTGCATCATTCAAGTTTCATAGCTTTGTATAAGGTGCTATCTTATTCATTGTATGTGTTAATCGTCCTAGAATCGACACTTCATTTATCTGCCACTTTTCACCGACAATTCAAACTTGTATCTCAACCCATTTTACTAGTCATTGGTAGACACTTAATTTCCGAATTAGTATTTTCGTATTTGTCAGTTTTTACTCAATCAAGACTTAGTCTGTATATGTCTAACGACAGTTTAGAGAAATATGATGAATTTATATTCTTCTAACCGTCCTTTGTTCAGTTTTGGGAAGGGAACCAGGTGCTCATAAATAAGTATTAATTGGATTTTGTGGTGATAATAGGGGAAATATTTATGTGACAAACGCTTGTATAAAATTAAGCTGTTAAGACAGCTCGTTATTACTAAACTTAGTAGAAGAGTGGTTATGGTTATCAATCCTGAATGAAAGTGAATTTTATTTTTCTTTAAAAGATATGATGACAAAATGAAATTTCTAGTATGCACTTTTTAAATACTCATACTCATGCTTAAATTTCAAATCTTATTTAGTGCTTTAATTTTATGCATTGTAAGGTTTAGCGTATCTGAATAAAAAGTTAGTGAACGAGTTTTTCACCTTACTTTCTTAGCTACTTGAGGCCGCCACTCGGTTCAAAAATCTGAGTTCGTTGTGCTTGGAGTTACCGGATGATGAACGTTTCTTAAATGCAAAACAAAGAGTAACAGGTTTGTCCTTTCTACGTAATTAACGTAATTAATTTCAGTCGCCTGTCAACACTTGGATACAGCTTTACTTGAACGATTTAGAGCAAATTTCCTTACGGGAAATATTGAGACAATGAAGAGCATAGCGGATGTACTTCTTCTTTCCAAAAACTACTCTCAATGTGCTGAGATCTTGGTTGAAGAAACAGTAAAGGTAAATTTATTTTATATACTTCTTTCGAAACATCAGTTTCTCTGTTGGACTGTTTACGTTTATAGCTTAAAAATTTGTAGTTTCGACAAAGTTTCGTCAAGAAAGCTTGAGGATCAGTACATTTATTATCGAATTTCTGGAAATAGGATTACCGACTATACTGGGTTGAACCGGCAGTATGATGTTTCTCACAGGTAATCAGAGTGTTGAAAAGTGCTTCTTTTCTGTTTTTAAGATGAACTAGGTGTCTTCAAAACACAAATGTGCTTACTTCACTGTGTTCCAGTTAGTCGTCATCAGCAAAGTCTGGAATAAGTGTGCATCACTCGAAGTTTCCATACCATATTAGCTCAACGAGATGAACTTCACAAGATGAATAGAAAAAACATACTGAAATGATGTAGTAGCAATGATAATGAAAAAAGTTCATACTGGGATCAGACAACCTTGAAATTTCACTTTACGTTCCACTGAAAATAAGGCCTCTGAAAAGATCTTTGAGTAAAAGGTCAATATGAAACAGTCAATATGCAATATCTATAACTAGTTTTTATTGAGTAGGAAAAGTCGAATTGCTTTTATTTCTCCAATTTAAATGTCTATTTTCTATACGTTGTGGTTCCATAGTCACTATCTACTAATTTTTTTATTCTTATCATAATTTTCGTACATTTCTTTCATTCTTTTTATTGTTAACAGACAATAGATCCCAACAAGATTCATTTTAAAGATATTACAAGGTGCTTGGTTTCGAGTGAAAAGCTAATTATGACCTTATTTTTACGACCAGATTCAGTTCTGATGCAACTAATGCATAGTCTTTTCACAACAAAATTAAAAGTATGTCAAATAAATGACAGTTATACATTACCTAACATTATCGTTGGTAGTACACTTCTGGAAACTCGGTCTTTATTTGAACTTCATTGTCATGTGATTTGTTTTAATCACTTTTATTTTCAGCATCCTTTCATTAATTTCCAACCAACTCTGATGTTTGAAGATTTGATACTACGTACTGAGTAACTGGTTTATATAACTAACAATTTTTTATATATGTCTCGTTGCAGTTTGGATGCTCTTATTGAAAATACCTTAATCACTAAATAAATTATATGCGTATGAATACTGCAAAATAATTTTTTCTTGTTGGATTAGACCTTTATTGATAAAGGTCGAAATCCGAATTTTTCTAACTAGATGCCAGTGTTGTACTGAAAGTTAATTTTCTGTCGGTTTATAAAGTGTTTTTCCGTCTACTCTTGTCAATAGATTGTATAGTTTTAATGCTTACAAGCGTCAACATCATACCATAAAACCCTATTTTTACGAGATGATTAGGTTGTTCGGTCTAAGAGATCTAGTGAGCTATGAAATTAGACACTACATGGTTTGGTGACATGGGTACATTCAAATAGCATTCCACAAACTAGATTGGGGAAGACTCCATGTTTAACGTTTTGATGCATTTCTTGAATTACATTATTAATTAAATAATTTGAAATAAAACAAGCACTTGATTGAGTTATTTTTTCATATATGAAAAAAAAATGTAAAATTATTTCAAATTAGATGTTCCTGTCAATAGACGAAATGATTCCATAAGCTAACATTTTCTCAGGCACATTTCTTTCTGGAATGAATTCAAAGAATGCTTTTAGGTTTTCAGAATAGTAGTCAGTCGTTCACATAATAATACAGGCTCTGATAAATACATTTGATCCAAAGGACTTACTGACGTACTTACGCCTGTTACTCCTAACAGACCATAGGCCGCTGACCAGCATTCTCCAACCCACTCTGTCCTAAGCATTCCTTTCCAGTTCTATCCAATTTTGTCCATTTTTCTAATATCTGTCTCCATTTCCCGGCGTAACGTGTTATTTGGTCTTCCTCTCCTCCTTCGGCCTTCAGGATTTCAAGTGAGGTCTTGCCTTGTGACGCAGTTGGGTGTTTCCCTCAATATATGTCCTATCCACTTCCAGCGCCTCTTCCTGATTTCTTCCTCCGCTGGGATTTGGTTTGTTCTCTCCCACAATAGGTTGTTGCTAATAGTGTCCGGTAAACGGATCCGAAGTATTTTGCGTAGACAACTGTTAATAAACACTTGTATCTTCTGGATGATGGCTTTCGTAGTTCTCCAGGTTTCCGCCCCATACAGTAGAACTATCTTGACATTTGTATTGAAAATCCTGACCTTGGTGTTGGTTGACAGTTGTTTTGAGCTCCAGATGTTCTTCAATTGTAAATATGCTGCTCTTACTTTTCCGACCCGTGCCTTCACCTCTGTATCAGATCCACCGTGTTCATCAATGATGTTGCCCATGCCCAACCTTCCTCCTTTATCCGGGCTTAGGGTCGGCGGTAGCCCCAAAGGGGCTCCAGGCGGAGTTCACTCAACTTACTTACTTACTTACGCCTGTTACTCCTCGTGAAGGAGCATAGGCCGCTCACCAGCATTCTCCATCCAACCCTGTCCTGGGCAATCCTTTCTAGCTCCGTCCAGTTGTAATTCATCGTTTTCAAATCTGCTTCTGTTATCCGACGCAATGTGTTCTTTGCCCTTCCTCTTTTTCGCTTCCCTTCGGGATTCCAAGTTAGGGCTTGCCTCGTGGTGCAGTTTGTTAGCGGGACATAGACTAGATTAAAGCATGCTCAATGCGTGATTGCTTTGGTGCACGCTGATTAGCTAATTCTTATCCAATCAGCACTAGTCGATAGTTGGAGAACTCTCTGGAATCTTCTTATGTAAAAACTATAAATATCCTGACGTTTTCCCTATTGTGCTTCTGACTTGCTATTTGGAATATAATCTCTTTCCTGTTCAACCGTGTTCTGATTTGGGGACTTGTCGAGTGAATCGGTGTCCGAGAATACTAATCAATAGGAATAGCTGGGTCATAACCGTAAGAAGAAAGAGATTATAACACAGTTTGACGATTTGCGTAATGTATGTCCTATCCATTTCCATCGTCTTTTCCTAATTTCTTCTTCAGCTGGAAGTTGGTTTGTTCTCTCCCACAGAAGGCTATTGCTGATGGTATCCGGCCAATGGATGTTGAGTATCTTGCGTAGACAGCTATTTATAAATACTTGTACTTTCTTGATTGTGGTTGTTGTAGTTCTCCAAGTTTCAGCTCCATACAGTAGAACTGCCTTGACGTTCGTATTGAAGATTCTCACTTTGATATTGGTTGAAAGTTGTTTTGAGTTCCATATGTTCTTCAATTGTAGGAATGCGACCCTTGCTTTGCCGATCCTCGCCTTTACGTCTGCATCTGAACCTCCTTGTTCATCGATGATGCTTCCCAGGTATGTGAAGGACTCTACATCTTCCAGAGTTTCGCCATCAAGAGTGATTGGATTGCTGTTTTCCGCTTTGAATTTGAGGACCTTGGTTTTCCCTTTGTGTATGCTGAGGCCTACTGATGCAGAGACTGCTGCTACACTGGCTGTCTTCATCTGCATCTGTTCGTGTGTACGTGATAGGAGGGCTAGGTCGTCTGCGAAGTCCAAATCGTCTAATTGATTCTGAGCTGTCCATTGTATTCCGTGTTTTCCTTCAGATGTCGAGGTCTTCATAATCCAGTCGACCACCAGAAGAAAGAGGAAGGGAGAGAGTAAACAGCCTTGTCTGACTCCAGTCCTTACTTGGAATGCATCTGTCAGCTGTCCTCCATGCACTACTTTGCACTGTAGTCCGTCGTATGAGTTCCGGATAATGTTGACAATCTTCTCAGGAACTCCGTAGTGTCGAAGAAGTTTCCATAATGTCCTCCTATCTACACTGTCGAATGCCTTTTCATAATCAATGAAGTTGATGTATAGTGATGAGTTCCACTCAACTGATTGTTCGACGATGATCCGTAGTGTTGCAATTTGGTCTGTGCACGACCGATCCTTACGGAATCCAGCTTGTTGATCTCGAAGTTGGGCGTCTACTGCATCCTTCATCCGGTTCAGCAACACTCTGTTGAAGACTTTCCCTGGTATTGACAGTAGTGTAATGCCTCTGTAGTTTTCACATTTGCTCAGATCTCCTTTCTTTGGAATCTTGACGAGGTGTCCTTCTTTCCAGTCCATCGGCACTTGTTCCTCCTCCCAAATCTTTTTGAATAGAAGGTAAGCATGCTTGTGGTTGCTTCGATGTCTGATTTCAGTGCTTCAGCTGGTATGTTGTCGGGTCCTGCTGCTTTCCCGTTCTTGATTTGTCTGACGGCCATTCTAATTTCTTCCGTCGTTGGTGGGTTGACATCTATAGGAAGATCTATGTGTGCTGCTTCGATGTCCGGTGGATTCATTGGAGCCGGCCTATTCAGGAGTTCCTCGAAGTATTCTACCCATCTGTTACGCTGTTGTTGAATTTCGGTGATTGGCTTGCCTTCTTTGTCTTTGACCGGCCTCTCTGGTTTACTGTATTTCCCTGCTAGTTTCTTCGTTGTATCGTGAAGCTGTTTCATATTTCCTTCTCTAGCAGCTTTTTCTGCCGTCGTTGCTAGTTCTTCCACGTATTTCTTCTTGTCGGCTCTAATGCTCCTCTTCACTTGTTTGTTTGCTTCTATGTATTCAGCTTGTGCTTGGACTTTCTCTGCTCGTGTTCGGCTGTTGTTAATTGCTGCCTTCTTGTTCTTCCTTTCTTTGATCTTGTCCAGTGTTTCTATAGAGATCCATTCCTTATGATGGTGTTTCTTTAGGCCCAGAACCTCTTGACACGTTGAAGTTAATGCTTCCTTGATGCCTTTCCAGTTGTCCTCCATAGTAGTTTCTTCTTCATTCAGTAGATCTTGTAAGGCTTGGAACCTGTTGTTGAGAGCTATCTTGAATTCATTGAGTTTGTCAGTATCTCGAAGGAAGGCTGTATTGAACCTTTGTAGTGCTGTTTGTCCACTTGTCCAGTTCTTTTTAGCTTCAGTTTTAAATTGGCTACAACTAGGTGGTGATCTGAAGCTACGTCAGCACCTCTCCTGGTTCTCACATCTTCCATTGTCCTTCGGAATTTTTTGTTGATGCAAATATGATCTATTTGGTTCTCTGTAGTGTGGTCCGGTGAGATCCATGTAGCCTTGTGTATACGCTTGTGTGGAAATATTGTGCCTCCTATGACCAATTTGTTGAATGCACATAGATTTGCAAATCTTTCTCCATTTTCGTTTCTTTCTCCCAGTCCATGTCGTCCCATAATATCTTCATATCCAGTGTTGTCTATTCCGACTTTGGCATTTAGATCTCCCATCAGAATAGTTAGGTCCTTTCTTGGCATTTCTCAATGATTGACTGCAGCCGCTCGTAGAACTGATCTTTAATGTCGTCGTTGCTATCATTGGTGGGTGCATAACATTGGATAATATTCATTAAGATCCCCTCCTTCTTTGTTTTGAATGATGCTTTGATGATTCTGGATCCGTGAGACTCCCATCCTACAAGTGCATTTCGTGCTACTTTGGACAGCATAAGAGCGACTCCCTGAGTGTGTGGAGCATTGTCCTCTTCGTGACCGGAGTATAGCAGCATCTCTCCCGTAGCTAGCCTTTTCTGTCCAGCTTGGGTCCAGTGGGTTTCGCTGATTCCCAGTACTGCTAAGTTGTATCTCCTCATTTCCATTGCTATTTGACTGGTCTTCCCGGTTTCCCACATTGTTCGAACGTTCCATGTACCTATAAAAATTTTTGCTCTGGTTGTTAGAAGGGGCATCGGCCTCGTGGCTTCCGAAGGAACTCGGCTTTCACCATGAAGCGTCATAATTCTTCTAACTGAAGACCTTCTAACTCCCAGGGCAGAGTTTAAATGGTTTGGATTATTTTTTCTGGTAAGCGTTTTTTAGCGAGTTAGTTTTCTACGGGATGGGGACGCTAACCCCATGCCCAACCCTCCTCCTTTACCCGGGCTTAGGACCGGCAGTAACCCTATAAGAGCTGCAGGCGGAGTTTCACTCAACTTACTATGAATTTATTTCCAATTCAACCAGAACAATATAATCGAATGATCGTTTGACATGCCCTAAACACAACCAAGTTACACCGATCAGTTTGGGCACACAAGTTCATTGATTGCCTTGCGTCTCTTAATTACGAAATGATGCGTAGTTTTAACACTGCTCCACCTCACATGATCAACACTTCGAAGACATATAATGTACTACTATCATATAGTTTTGGAGATAAACCTTTTGTGTATATAACAGTTGGCAAGCAAAGTTGATCCGGGTGCTTTGTGCATATCCTATGTAATTTTACTAAGCTTATATTTTATCTTTTATGACTGCTTCATATTAACTAAGTTCGCTAACACTTTACTGTATGTTTCAAAACGACCAGCGTCCCACGCGAGATTTTAATCCGTTTTCTCAAATTATCAATCAGTGGTATAAAGGTCACGCGTAAATTATAAATCATATTATGTACAAAACTGAGACATTTATTATACAAATCATAGGTTCATAATTGATTAGCAGTAATCTATGGATGGGAAAAGATAAAAACAACTATCAATGAGACAAATAGAAGCTTATAATTAAGAGAATACAAAACTACCGTGAATCAGTCGTTTAACAAATGCATGGTAAAAAATATATTCTAAACACCCAGAGAAGGGCTCCAAGAGTCTCGTATTTCATACTTATTTTCCTCGTCACAGAACTTTCTAAGCATATAATTTGTTTGATTTTTCAATTTATTCCAACTTAGGTATACCTGAGTAATCATATGAAGGAAGAATTGAATGCACAGGCATTTTTAACTAATTTGTACAATGAATATCGAAAGTAAGCATATGATTGCAGTTTTACACATATTCTTGTTCAGTAATCTAATATTCATTTGCAATATTGTGTAGAATAATAGTGATTTACTTAGGTGAATCTCAATAGTTTTGAAAGTAGTACTATTTTTAATCTTTGTTAGTACATGAAAATGCACATTTCATTGACCTTCTCAATGTTTGTTATATATAAGCTACAATTATAAAATTTTTAATTCACTTGGTATGGTTTTACTTGAGTCTTCCCATTGATGTTTAGGACTGAAATTGATCAGTCTCTTATTGGCATATGTGCATACTGTGCTAAGTGGATAACGCGATGGCGTTTGAAGCGAACGGTACTGAGTTTGAGTCCCAGAGTGAATATCAACTCTGAGATGCAGGTACATCCAGCTGACGAGTCTCAAATAGGACGAAACGCGCGTCTGAGATTCCACTGTTAGCCACTATCCATCTTTGCTTATAAAATTTTTGTTCAGAGCTAATCATCTCTTTTATGTGTTTAAGTTTTACGCTTGTAAATGTAGGATGTTTATCACTGTAAGCCATTGTAGATTTCAAGTAGACTTTTTTATCATGTCATTTATGACGATAATGTTGTCAATGCTTTTAAATATAAGTTCAATACGTACATCTGTTGTTCACTATCTAACCAAATACACGGTTTTTACTGACTAGGTTAGTTAATTAAACATTATCATTTACACCCTTTTTACCGTCCTCTACTTTCAAAAGAATGAATGTAATTAGTTAACTCAAGCAAATGTTGTCAATTTCACTGCATGTTTTCTCGTACATTGCTATTTTCTTGGTCAATGGTTTATGTTTTGTTTTCGATGATAAATAAAATTCATTCATCTGTTAATTTATTGTATCTTCTTAAAAATCTAATTGGAGTTTTTTTCTTGTTTCAACTTTGGCTGTCATACATAAAATTCTGATAGTTTTATGTATCTATTTTGCAAATTTCAGCGTTGAGAAATTGGTTGTTGAGTTATCTAATGAGTTAACCTTAATTACGGATCCAATGCAACTGTCCAAATTATTTCGGGAATTATTTGCTCCATATTTAGTCGATTATATGAAACGAGAATCTGACTGGTTAACTGAACGCTTAACAGGTCATCTTGAACATTATTATCAAAGTCAAAGGCATCAAAAACGTGCGCTAAATGTTTCTGGGTTAGTTTCAAAGTTTTTCATACACTGCTACAATTTAAAAGTGATTAGCTCTCAATAATAAAATCTTACTGATATAGTAAAGTGAATATTCATAGGTGTTCATCTGGCTTATGAGGAATAATGTACTTATTTCCAGTAACATCAATAAATATTAACTATTCTGTTGTGTTTAGCTGGCTGAATTTCGACGAGACCTCCAAGCAAAGTTTCATATCACTGGTGGTGATCGATCACAAAATGACTACGATGTATCGTTGTTATCAGAAGAAGTCGCTGTTAATATTATTGAGGATATTCGGCGTGCTGCCAAACGATGCTTGCTGGTAAGATACTGAAACTTAAACTTATTTTAAAATAAACATACTTAAGATGTAGACATTAATAACTTAGTCATGAATGCTTGTGATAATCTCCAATCTTTTTACATCGGGAATATGTTATTTCGAGAAATAGGTAAAATTTCGTTAAATACTAAACTTTTTAGTATACTTTCGTCATATAATGAGAAGCTTTCTTTGGTTTCATTATATTTATGCAGTCTCTTTGTTGAAGACTTATTTACAACTGAAGACTATTTACTTCAAATAAAGTATATGGTATTCTGAATGGATTTACACTTATACGCCGGTTTTTGAAATAATCATCTATTCATCTCTATTTTTCATCGTTTACAATGACTATGATGTATTTATCCTATGTTTAAAAATACCTACTTATTGTTCCTCAAGTCCATTCTTTCTTATTCAGTTGTGTTCTCTTTGTTTAATCTTTTCTACTGTAACTGGTGCTGTTATCCTGGTACTATATGTCTTGATAATCTCATATGGCTATGCTAATACGGTATTGAAGTTGGGACCAAAGAACATATATGTTAGGTTTCATATTTGTTATGACTGAATGAATTATCATTGGAAAGTATATTTTCTCCTATTTGGTTAGTTGTTTATCATTGATATACAATATTTAGTTTTTATATTAGAACCAATCTTAAATTGTTATTAAAGTCATTGCATGTATATTTGATGACATTTACCAACTGGTTATTTATGTATGTTGTTGTTGTAGATAAATGATCTAAACTATTGATTATTCTGGGAACGATGAGATTTCCTATTGTTTTATTTTAAAACATTTTTTTCCTAAACTTTTGTAAATGTAACTGTATAGCATTTTTGTAAAGTAAATACTAATTGATGATTGCTTCAATATGTAGTGAAAAATCGATTTGATAATAGCCCATGAATATTAAGTTTCTGACAGTATTTTATTAGATGAATTTTAGGTAAGAGTAGAAATGGTTCTTAACATTTTACGTGAAATATTTAACTGAAAATATAAATATTAAAATCTATTCAATTTATCAGTAAATCCATTGGGAAGTCACTCATCAACCAATCAGCATAAACCCTTTCATGTTAATGAATAAAGAGGTTGTACACTAGTTTGTATTCAATACAAGTATTTAAATAAATAAAATTTTAAGTTAATTAATGACCATTATACTTCATTTCATACAGTTCACAATGTGTAAAAATAAAACTTTTATAGTTACTACTTTTTAATCCACTTAATTGTTCTATATATATATATATATATATATATATATATATATATATATATATATATATATATATATATTGTTCAATTGCTCTATAGTTATCCCAACCTACTGCTATTCCAGACAATGGCAAATTCATATTTAATTGTTTGTATCACTATCTAATTGTTGAACACGTGGATTATGGTGTTACTTTAGGTTTGCACGGTGAGTTCATCGCATCGAAACTAAATGTGTTCTTTTTTATACGAAAATTGAGATTTTTGTACTATTTAGTCTGTATATGTTTATAATACAACAATTCGATCTACAGTTAGGTGTTGTAATACTAAGCCATAAATACTATCAATAATATAGAAATGTTATCAATAGGATAACCATATTTAAGTCATCAGTTCGTGTAAATCAATCAGTAATATCATTACAAAACTACAAAGCAGCAATTCACAGGTTTATCATATACTTTAGACGGTGAACAAATATCTCTTCGATCCTGTAGTCATATACTTCGGTTAAAGAATTAACAACCAAATAGGACTTATTATCCATTTATTTTAGTGTATTTTTCAGGAAGTGAGCAACTGAAATTGATCATTCTTGAGCATATTTCGAGAAACGTGATAATTAATATATCTGAACCAAAATCTGAACGATACTTTTAAATTTAAATACTTTAATGTAAAACACGTCTTTTGTTTGAGATTGTAGTCTACTACTTTGATGCTTAAACTTTGATTAATAGAATCGAGTTCAAATTCAAATGACACGGATTATTTAATATCAAGTACATGGGCCCATCAGATGACTAGTATTTGGAACCAAGTTTCCCTTACACTGGATATTTACCCAGTAAAACGAAATACAGCTTCTTATTGACGTATACTTTACAAATTAGCATAGATAACTGAACATAGTTTGTTACACAAAAATAATGCGTCCCATATTTGAAAGACAAGTACTGAATTTACTAAATGACAAAAAGCTTTATCAAGTCAAAGCAAAATTACTGGCTTTACATTTTTCCTTGAAAAAAGTAAAAATGTCATGTTTATGTTGGACGTACTTTGTGTACAAACTGTTCATACAAAACCCGATTTGTGTGTTATCGATTTTAAATAGTATTGTGAAGAGACAAAGTTGATCAGAAAAATGTGATGTAGTTCCATTATATGTATTAAACAATCTGATCCCAGTTATACTGATAAAAATATTTTACATGAAGTTGGAGAAACAATGAAAAAGCATTGTAATTTGTCTCTTTCCCTGCAGCCACATCCATGCATTATTTATTTATTTAAACACATAAACATTGGTTCAAGGAGGCGCCAAAAATATATGCTCCACACTTCGTCATTCGATTTGTGAGGGCTGGAATACTGTCTGTGTGCCCAAACGGAAGCAGATGGTTTTCTTAGAGAACCACTCCCCCGAGCCTTTAACCTAGAAGTCCAATCCACAAGGCACTGGAGCAACGTTAGGAGATGTAGTCTCATGTTAGCCGATGATCAACTATAGGTTTATACGCCATCTGTTCCATCAGGATTCTAGAGCCCATGTGCACCATAGGTTTGGAATCAGGGTTTTCCAACTCATCCAGGCGAATTCTCTGTATCTAACAGCCCGGTTAAAGCGCCGGAAATTCTCTTTTCGTCCTCTCGATTTCGTAAACAACACCCTCACCACCAGAAGGCAGTGGGTAGGAATAGTCGTTAAATTAACTATCCATCAGTGAGGATCGAGTTGTTTGTAATGAGGTTAGAATTAATATTTTTAGGGAGTTTTAATCAATAAACCCTTATTTTCATGGCGAGTCAATAGTTAGCTTTAGTTACCTCCCTCAATTAATTGAACAAGTATGGATAAGCTTGTTATTCGTTTAACTCAAAAATACTTTATGATTTCCCAATATGATATATCTGCTACTGGAACGATTGCTGGTGACTTCCTATATTGTTTTTTATCCTCAGACTACTCCACTTGATCTAAACATTGTCGAAAGGCATTAAGTGAAGATAAGAGCATTCACTGTTAATTTACTTGCCAAAAGAAAGCTTATTTATACGTTTATGAATAACAGTCCACTCAAAACATGAATTTTTCTAGATGTTTCTAGGAATTTTCTACTTAGTACTGATCGGATAGTGTTTTCAGCCTTTCTGAGCCTCTACAAACTTTATTGATATATTCTTAAGAGCTCCCAATACTATACTTCCAATAAAAGTGTCTACTATGTTACGTAATAAAATCATATTTCCCAGTATTCTGGAAAACCCCATTCTAACAAATAATATACTGTTCACTGATTAATAGTTCATTTATTAAGATTTCTATGTAGATTCACGTTTTAAATTAACTAAATTTATTAATTTTTCTGTAGGTGGAGAGAAAGTGAAGAAATCCTGTGAACTTATTATATTTTAAAAACAATTTTGTTGTTTTTGATGGAGTTTTGTTCTCTGAGCAAAACCATCCAGCTCAGAGAACAAAACTCCATCAAAATCACCCACCTGAGCTACAAATCTTCTCCACCATCTCACTTTTATTGTTTTTTAGATTTGTAAAGAGTTCTAAATGGATCATTATGAATTATATTAAATCAAGAAATAATGATTAAAACTATAATAGGGCGTATAAAATAGTAAAAGTAACAAGTTTTCACGCTACAATTGGTCAAAAAATTAAAAATAACTATTACTATTGTACTTTTGAATCGAAATTAGAGTATCCTCGATCACTTATCCAGTCATTTATAAACAATGTATCACAAATGTATGTCGACTCACGTTGCTAATCCTCGTCAGTACAGCTAAAAGAAATTAATTAGAAATATATTAAGGGATTTTGAATAATTATATCACTGGCAATAAAAAATTAAACGTAGTGAGTATGGTTCGTATAAAATGAATGAAACATAGGAATAAAACGAAATCTTCACTTTTATTTCTAGCTAAAACTTTTACAAACCTCATAATAATGAACCTTTTGAGGATTTTCATATCAGCGTTAGAAATCAGTTTTGATCACGGATTTTCATCGGATGAAAAAAAACCCAACTTCAATCAATTCACAGTATTACGCGATAACAATTGTCCAATGTTATAGGTGTGATATCTACCTCAGTTCAAATATGGTTGAATGAATTTTGAAATGTTAACGATTGAACTCCAATTAAGTGGTTCGTATATATCGTTCTGATTACGAAGGCTGAAATTTCGTGTATTAGGTTTTGTGTAGAGCAGTGTGTAGACTTTGTTGAGGGTAAAACAGCTTCTTAGTGCTAAATCTTTTTTATGCTTTCCCAGTTTGCCTAAATGCGTGATGAAAACTTAGTTAAGGATGAATAGTCTCCACGAAATCCCATTTCCGTAATTACGTATGCACTGCTTTTTAGTCAGTCTACTGGTATTAGTATTTTGCATTTTAGTTAGACATTTTCGATTCTACCTGTAGTAAAAATGAAAGTATATTTTATTATAGCGTTTTTTTTGTAGTGAATAAAAGCTTTTAAACCTTAGGTATTACGGCTTCAATGTGGGTTTCTTAAAAACAGTAGAGTGGTACAAATAACTGTAAATGCTAGGCCAAATAGTCCTAGTACAGTACATAAAACTTAACCGACTGTGATCAGAGATAATAGAAATTCGTAGTTAAAACATATAACTTAAATTAGAAGCAATCGTTCTTCTCAGAAGTCCATAAAAAGATTTCTTAAATAAATCACTTTAAGTAAGGGCGAAACGGCCATCGAGTGCTCCCAGGTTTTCAATGATGGTCTAACATTGATCGGTTCATTCTCAATGAAAACTCAACAACCTCCACAACTCTATACTGATTGTTAGGTAAGATACTCAAGTTTGTATAATTTTGTCATATTTTCATATACTTGTTTGCACATAATATTTGAATGTCTTTTACGCTTTGTAATATCAGGTTTGAATATAGCCGATCCTCGAAATAACAATCCAAACCTAGTCTTCTTCTCCATAATTCACGAAGCCACATCCATTTTTCACTTTTTTGAGAAAACAATTGATGAGTCCATTTTACCAATGATTATGTGAGTATTTTCTGAATAATTTTTTGTGCCACTAAAGTTTTTAAAAACACCAGTACATAAATTCAGTTTTTGAAAGTATGAGTCTTTTTAGTTGACTATGACCTAATAACCTATCTTTTTCTAATACTGTTTAGATTATTTGTGAACATTTATATTTTCTTGTTGTTGACACTCGAGTCTACAATTGATTAGTTGCTATTGGCTTATGAACACCCCTAGAAAATGTAATGCTATGGGACGAAATGTGCGTTCTGAATTCCATTACTTGCCTCGGAACTTTGCATCATACTTAGAAATTTTGTCCACGAATATGTTACAATTATGGATGGAGATATTTGAAAGATTTAATATTTTTATCTCCCTGTATTATTTTGACTTAATTAGATCAGCTAATAGTTTGACGCTCAACTATGTATAGTTTAAGATGCGATTTACTACGAAATCAATTTCGGCATAATATTCCCATTGTCAGGACATTGTGCTCTCCAAGAGTCGAGTATTATTTCAGTTGATACAGACTAGTACTACGGTATAGATAAATGTCATTCAAAATCTGCATCATCCACTATCTTGAATTCAGTGGCATTCTGACACTGTTTATCTAAGTTAAGTGATTTATTTTGACTTGATAACTGGAACAATAAAAACCTTAAGAATGTTTAGTAAACCAGAGGCTAGAATTGATTGACTAAAAGAAACTCGGAACTATTACTTAATTACTTACTCCACTTGCCCCTCATAAGAGCATAGACCGATGACCACGGTTCTCCTGGGCTCTCCTTTCTAGTTGTTCCCAGTTACTGTTCATTCCTTTGATGTCTACCACCGATTCCGGACGCAGTGTGTACTTGGGTCCTCCTCTTTTCCTTTTACCTTAAGGATTCCAAGTAAAGACTAACCTCATGGTGTAGTTTGATGATTCCTGCGATGCATGTCCTATCCGCTTCCTAATTTCATCTTCATCTGGAAGTTGGTTTGTTTTCTGTCGCAGTAGGTTGTTGCTGATGTTATCCGACCAACAGATCTAGAATATGTTGCATAGATAATTGTGCATACATACCTGTACTTTTCTGGTAATGGTTGTAGTGGTTCTCTACGCTTCAGTTCCGTACAGTAAATCTGTTTTAATGTTTGTATTGGGATTTCTCACTTTGGTGTTTTGTGACAGTTGTTTTAAGTCCCATGTTGATGTGTGGGCGAGGAAAACGGTGATTATTTTTTTGTCTAGTCAGACTTTTAGATAGTTTGACAGGTTTTAGATGTGTTAAATATTTTCCTACCCTTATTACTATTTTCAGTTGTTGACGTGGAAATATACTCACGTTTTAGTCATGCTCGTCACGTGTTCCTGATCCGACTTGTGTTGAAATCCTGTAGAACAGGCACTGGAAAGGTATCTACTGAAGACATTCGTCTAAGGGAAATTATTGCTCCATTGGCGTAAGGGAGAAAACCGAGCATTATTTCAATGTTTCTCGATTAAAGGAATGCTTCCCTTGCTTTGCCAATCCGTACTTTCACTTCTACATCAGATTCCCCCTGTTTATCAGTAATGCTGTCCAAGTACGTTAGTTTCCACCTGTCCCAGATCTCCAACAAGTTCAATCTGGTTGGTGCTCTGTGTTGAATTTTAGGATCTTGTTTGTTCCCTTGTATAAATTGAGACCTACTGTTGCTGCACTGGCCGTATTCATCTGCATTTTTTGTTGTGTATAGGATCTGCGAAGTCAAAATCGTCTAGTTGCATGCAGGCTGTACATTATATTCCGAGATCTTCATAATCCAGTCAACCATCAAAAGAAAGTGAAGGGCGAGAGTAAGCGGCCCTGTCTGACTCCGATCCGCACTTGGAATGCATCTGTCAGCTGTCCTCCATGTATGACTTTGCAATGTAATCCGTCGTATGAATGAATCCCGCATGATGTTGACAATTTTTTCAGCTCCTCACTCTACAGTGTCGGAGATGGTTCCATAAGGTTCTCCTATTCACAGTGTCAAATGCTTTATCATAGTCAAGTAAGTTGATGTATAGTGACAAGTTCCGTTTAATTTATTGTTCACAATGATTCGTAGTGTCGCGATTTGGTGTGTACACAACCGGTCCCTACGGAATCCAGTCTGTCGATTTCGAAGCTGATCGTTTACTAAATCTCTCATCCGGTTCAACAACACTGTTTAAAACCGTTCCTAATACTAACAGTAGTGTGATGCCTCTGTAGTTTTCACATTTGTTCAGATTTCCTTTCTTTGATATCTTGATGAGATCTCCTTCCTTTCAGTCCATCGGTACTTGTTCTTCATCCCAGATCTTCCTGAATAGAACACGAAGCATGTTTGCAGTTGTTTCTATGTATGACTTGAGTGAGTCGGCTGGTATGTTGTATGGTTAAACGTCTGCTTTCCAACTGATTTGTCTGATGGCCATCCTGATTACTTCGGTCGTTGCTGGAGTAACATCCATAGGGTAGTCTGTGTATGTTGCTTCGATGTCCGTCGGGTTGTGTGAGTTTGGTCTATTCTTGAGTTCCTCAGTGTCCCACACATCTGTTCTCGAATCTCAGTGATTGACCTACCTTCTTTGTCCTTGATCGGTACCTCTGGTTTACTATATTTCCCTGTTGGTTTGTTCGTCGTGTCATATAGTTGTTTCATATTTCCTTCTCTTGCAGCTTTTTCCGCCGTCGTTGCTAGCTGTTCCACGTATTTCTGCTTGTCGGTTCTAATGCTGCTCTTCACTTTCTTGTTTGCTTTAGTGTATTCAGTTTGTGCCTTGACTTTCACTGTTGAAAACTTTTCCTGGTACCGGTAGTAGTGTGATGTTCTTGTAGTTCTCATACTTACTCTTCCCTCTCTGTTTTGAAGGATGCTTTGATAATTCTAGAATCATGAGTTTCCCATCCTATTACCTTTTTTCACGCTTCTTTGGAGAATATCAATGCGATTCCTTTCGTATGCGGGGCATTTTCTTCATCACTAGAATACAACATCATTTCTCCCGAAGCTATTATTTTCTGTCCAGCTTGCACGAAGTGGGTTTCACTTAAACCAAGTACCACCAGGTTCTATCTTCTCATTTCCTCTTCTATATGAATAGCCTTTCCGATCTCCCACTGTATGTGAACGTTCCGTGTGCTGATGTTAGTTCTTGCTCTGCATCGGCCACGTGATTCCTGAAGAATCTCGGCTTTCATTATGAGGCATCATAACTCTTCTAAATAAATACCCTTCAACTCTCAGGACTCCGAGAGTGACCTCTCGAAGCTAGTCACTAGTGAGTAAATGAAGTTAGACGTTAGCACTGTTGGATTCAGGCCCAGTAGTCTAGAGGTTAAACCTTCAAACGCGAATCTGAAGGTCTTGATTTCGAATCCTGCGTGTAGGATTGTGGGTGCGTACCGCTGAGGAGTCCTATACTAGGAAGAAACGGAAGTCCAGTGCTTCCAGGTTTCCAATTGTTCCTCTTTTTCATCTTATTAATATTTATTAGTGTGTCTTGTTAATAACCTTTACGTGTTATGTTGTACAATAACAATTTCCTTGGAACAAGGTATTTGTGTTTAATTTTTACATTAGATCACTTGAAAAATTAGATGCAATTAATATTATGTATATTTCAGTACAAACCCATCATATGCAAATGAAATATCTGTCAAACGTAACGAATTGAAACAAGATTTGGAAGGCAAATTCTGTACTGGCTTAGAAAAGTGTCTAAATCTGGCTATTTCTCGTGTCCAATATCTATTATCCAGTGAACAGCGAAAGACTGATTTTCGCCCAGATATAAATGCTAACTCAGGAATAATTGCCGGTAATCCACCATCGCTTGTAAGTTTCCTGGCTAGTAGTTTATTTACGAATTATTCTAAGCAATATTTAACTAAGTTTTCTGCTATTTCACTTTCCACTTACTAATGAGTATTTGACTCATAGAATCCGATCAAAATACGCTTTATTATAAGTTACTTTTTCATCAGTATTAGTTTGGGGACAAATTTGAAGGTGTGCTGTAATGTCCTGTATCTTTTCACAGAAATAGTATATTGTTATTTCGTGTTTATTTGCAGACTATAATAAAAATCTCAAGACTGATCCGCTCCTGTATTTCCATTCATCTTCAGGGGCAAATCCAGAATCATCTACAAGTTTTTGTCGCTTGTTCGTTGTATGATTGAGATGATAGTAAATACTTCCAGCCATTACTGTAGATGTAGCTTCAGCTCTCTAAGTCGTTTGCTGGTGTTTAACTGAAGATCCCTCTTTAGATGGTAAAAGTTGGAGGATAACCTTTTAGTTTGAGTCATACTTTATTCTCATTAGAAACATTCATTACATCGCCCTCTACAATGTCCCAGAACACTGTGACATTTATTGAAAACTCACAATCATATTTCTTATTATCAGGGCCGCCTTCGATTTGTTGAACAAGACTGGTCTGGAATTATCTTTTGTGGTAGTGTGTGCCCGATAGGTTTATGGATATCCTGAAGGTGCTGCACACTAACACCTCTCCGCTGTTCCACTCCGACAGTGTAGTTATGTAAAGTTGTTTAAAGTTGCCACTCCTCAACTTTGCCTTTGATAACATTCTGGAAACGGCTGTGATGGAATTTGGTAATAGTGATGTGGGTATGTTACTTGGAGAAATTTTCCGACTTTGAATACGCGGATGGTGCGATACGATTATCCTTAAGGTATCTTGATTGTACTTGATCGGATGACTATCGGTCTACGTAAGCATGGCATGTATTCTGCATCTTCAGCTTGCAAAACTGACAATACTGTGTCTGTACCAGTTCTTTGTAGTGATCCTTTAGAACTAGACGAGAAGTGTGGATATCTAGGTAGTTATACGTATGCTAGTGGTGACACGACAGATGAATCCAGTCTATGTATAGTGGAAATCACAGCACTGTATGTCAATCTAGACTATCTTTGGAGTTGTTGTTTTAGTTTAACTATAGGAGGTCGTATATAAAGGACATCGGTAAGGACAGTTCTGCTCTATTTATCAAAGTGGTCTTGAGTTCTGTCAGAAGTATGAGGGCGGTTATCACTTCCTGATTGCACACACCGTGGAAGGGTTCTTCTGGAGGTACCTTAAAAGGAAATTGGATTAGAGGTGGTCTTAGTTACCTGAGTTATTATTTATTATTTTTAACACATAGATATTGGTACAAGAAGGCACCAAATACATATGCGCCACACAGATCTCATTTGATATGTGAGAGGGCTGTGATACTGCCCGGGTGCCCGAACCGAAGCAGATTTTCTTGGGGGGCCACACCCGGAGCCTTCGATCTGGGGGTCTGATCCATAAGGCAGTGGAGCAACGTTAGGAGATGCATTCCCATGGTAGCCGGTGACCAACGATTGGTTCATACGCCATTTGTTCCTTCAGGATACTGGAGCCCATGTGCACCATTGGTTTGGAATCAAGGTTTTCCAACTCCCCTAGGTGGACTGTCCATGTCCACCAACACGGTTAAAGCGCCGAACATTCGCTTTTCATCCTCTCAATTTCGTAAACAACACCACAGCCGCGAGAAGGCAGTGAGTAGGACTTCCGGGGCAGTGATTGTATGCACGTGGCCATATGAGAGCATTTCGAGAGGGAGAGCAGACTGTCCCCACTCTCGGCCGTACCAGGGCATTTGGGGGCGTGACACGAAACAACTGCTTGAGGTCAGTCACACACGACCTTTTGTGAGTAATTTTCGTGTTAGCTCCGTACTTGTTGAGATCTTATCGTCGGAGACGGATATCCGTGGGATAAGGCGAGGTGTGCATTCTTAGGATCGACCTTTTCTAACCCACCCCTCCTTATGAGAAGGCAGCATCGTTGTCATGCTGGTTGTCTGAGGAAAACACATTACTGCTGTCACATCTCTGTACAGTCAGCAGTACGACTTCGCCTTCGGACCTTGGGTTTGTTGGTTTTAGTCTTACCGCTCTTCAACTGACCTGTCTGACATAGTAGGACCTAGAGGAACGGTTGTTCCAGCCAGTATAGCTCGGTTGCTTCATCACGATAGGCAAGCCTGATCACCACATCAAGGTAGCAACAACGACCTGGTCCTACGTTGTAACTGACTGACTAACCGATATTTATCAAAGCTAGCTCCTCTTAGATGGGGATTTCTGATTATCATTGTCTTTAAGGTGTTTCTCACATCCGATGACAAGACCAATTTTTAGCAGTCCCGAGGTCAGGCAACGCATGTTCGGGTGCAGTGACGGTCATTCATTTGATGCCAACATGTTAAGAAACTCACTTCGGAGGATTGGATATATTTTACGAACATTATCCCTGCGACCCCCCCCCACCACATGTTGCTCATTGACCCTTGGACGCTTTGAAAAAGGAGAAAGGTGGTTAGTTTATGACATGGTGCCATATTATTGAAGAAAGGCGTGTGAGGCTGGTATCTGTTCGTCCCATCACGAATCTCTTTTCGAGGTCCTAGAGATGGTGCAACTCAGTGGATTGGGACATTGTCAAATATGACGTGGAAAAGAATTTGTGGAGAATATACAGACTTCAATGAAATCTTGGATCAATTTAATAATTGTCACCACTCAATTAAATTGACACTAAAAGCAGAGACTAACGCGGAACCTCAGTTTTTCTGTTGTCTTGTTGAAAAAAGGCCAGATGGTTCCTTACGAAAATGTACATGTAGAAAACCGACCTCGAGTAGTTAATATATTAGTTTCTTTGGTTGGGTTCCATTAAGTAGAAGGAGAAACTTAATTCACTTATCCTCGAGGGCTAGACGAATATACTATCATAGCAAAATAGATGACGAACTACTCCAACTTCGACAGATACTCATCAGAAATAGCTATCCACATAGATTCATTGCTAGAAACTTAACACCAAGCCACCGATAGTTCTAACAAAAAAATTTTATTAATATCGAATTTAGGTGATTTATAGTTTGTGAAATCTTGGATAAACGGATTTCAAAATCCCTGAATAAAACCTATTCAGCCAAGCTTCGTATTGCCTTCTCAAGTCGCCCTATCATTCCCGGACGTGTTAAGGATAAACTCTGGCTTGGGGCCGTACCGATGTGCATCCATAAATTTACTGGCTTTTGTGAGGCAGGTTACACTGGGCACACAAAGCAAACACGTCTCAGAACATTACCTGCCGTAGTTTTTAAAAGGGGAATGAAAAGCTACCACTTGCTCGATAAAGGAGCACCTGATCGGCCCTAGTTATTGTCGCTCTAGAGGAGTCGTCCTTTAAAATAATCCATACAGTTGAAATGAGTCGAATCAAAAACTTATGTAGTGTTGAGGCGCTGGGAATCCACAAATTTAAGTTCGAACTCTGCTTGCAAAAACGATGCGCCCAACCTCTTATCCTTTCTTGGTTCTGATTTCTTTTTCCAGTGTGTTTCAGTTTTGTTTTTATTTGTAATTTTTAAACCGTAATCAGTTATTACTATCCTCTAACAATTTTCCATGATTATTATCTACTAACTGGACAATTACCTCTTATGTTTCTGATCCGTAAATTATTTTCGTCCTCCTATTCTTCTTCAATCTATTGATCATTACTCAACCCTATGTAATATTTGAAATCTCGGATCACTTTATAATTCGATCTCTTCTATCCCTCTATAGACTCATATATTTATCAAACAACTATAAATATAAATGTACAGCTTAATTAGACGACTTCATTGAAAAGAATTTTATTTTTACTCAGTAACTCAATCGGTTACTTTAATTATGAGTATTTTATTAAATGTTACACTTGTTCACCTATCAGCTGATTGTACGATTTTTTCCTATTTCGCCATAATGTTATTACTTCGTTTGCGTAGCGCACTTTTCAATTCCCCTATTTTACTAGAATTCGGACGTGCTATAAATCTCTCCATATCTAGTTAAAGAACCGAACGTAGTGTTCTCTCCTCATTGGCTTGTTTTTTTACGGACCCTTTTTATCCCGTAGCTTGTATCAGTCCGAAATACTACGATTTGTTGCTAAATGTTATTTTTCTTAACAATATGCTAGGCATGTCAACATGTGGTTGCTTTCGTAACCCACATCAACCGCGAGACTCATCAACACCTAGATGGTCAAAATTTAAAAACATTCTTACATGAATTTGGAATGAAACTAAATCGCACATTGGTAGATCATTTTTATAACTTTACCTTCTCTGACACAGGTAAATATTCATTCATGCTATAGAATCCTTTTTCTCTTCTAAATTAATCTGAAGAATTCAATGAGATAGTCTCGTATTTCAGAGCTATTGATTTCATGTGAAATGATGAAAAGGACACGTAAATACTTATAGTAACGACCTACTGGTTATAGAAAGAAGCCAACTCATCCTTGTCATAAACTTTCTCACCATCTGAGCAAAGGTCCTACGTAAATCAAAATGCAACATAATAGAATGTTAACTTTCTAAAGAATAAGGAGTCTACTGTGTATTTTACTCGGGTGCATAAGAAAAATGAATTTTTCAAAACAAATTAAGTTCGAAACTTGATGAAATGGAGGTTTTTTTAAATTGGAGTACATGGTTCACGATTTCAAGAAACTATGTAGGAAAATATTGATCGAACGTACTCGGATCGAAATGGAGTGTTAACGCTTAGTTTCATATGTACGATTTCTTCCACTTAACTTTAGAAAATACTAAGCTACGAAGTTATGATGTAGTTTATTCAGTTTCGTTCAATTTTATTACGCTATATATATATATATATATATATATATATATATATATATATATATATATATATATATATATATATATATATATATATATATACTTTAATTTGATATATACCCATGTCCAGTTCCTTGTTGTTTGAATGGAAGCAAGGCAATGTTTCTTTAAGAGATGGGATTTCTATTCCTTTCAATCTATATTGATTAACCTAATTACTACATCTGCGACTGTTCAAGAGTAGTAATTATTCAATTTGTTAGTTTTAGTATTATCAAAACTGGTTACTCTAAGAAACCATATATATACTTACTTACGCTTGTTACTCCTCGTGAAGGAGCATAGGCCACTCACCAACATTCTCCATCCAACCCTATCCTGAGCTATCCTTTCCAGCTCTTTCCAGTTGTTATTCATCCTTTTCATATCTGCTTCTATTATCCGACGCAATGTGTTCTTTGGCCTTCCTCTGTTCCATTCCCCTTCAGGATTCCAAGTTAGGGCTTGCCGAGTGATGCAGTTTGGTGATTTGCGTAATGTACGTCCTATTCATTTCCATCGTCTTTTCCTAATTCCCTCTTCAGCTGGAAGCTGGTTTGTTCTCTTCCACAAAAGACTGTTGCTGATGGTATCCGGCCAATCGATGTTGGGTATCTTGCGTAGAAAACCATTTATAAATACTTGTACCTTCTTGATGATGGTTGTAGTAGTTCTCCGAGTTTCAGCTCTGTGCAGTAGAACTGCCTTGACGTTGGTGTTGAAGATTCTGACTTTGATATTGGTTGATAGTTGTTTTGAGTTCTATATATTCTTCAATTGTAGGAATGCTGTCCTTGCCTTGCCAATCCTCGCCTTTACGTCTGCATCTTAACCTCCTTGTTCATCGATGATGCTCCTAGGTATGTGAAGGATTCTACATCTTCCAGAGTTTGGGTTGCTGTTCTCAGTGTTGTATTTGAGGACCTTGGTTTTCCCCTTGTGTATGCTGAGGCCTACTGATGCAGAGACTGCTGCTACACTGGCTGTCTTTATCTGCATTTGTTCGTGTGTATGCGATAGGAGGGCTAGGTCATCTGCGAAGTCCAATTCGTCTAATTGATTCTGAGCTGTCCATTGTATTTCGTGTTTTCCTTCAGATGTCGAGGTCTTCATAATCCAGTCGACCACCAGAATAAAGAGGAAGGGAGAGAGTAGACAGCCTTGTCTGACTCCGGTTCTTTCAGGATTCCAAGTTAATGCTTACCTCGTAATGCAGTTCGGTGATTTTTGCAATGTGTATTCTGTCCACTTCCAGTGTCTTTTCTTAATTTCCCTTTCAGCTGGTTTGTTCTCTCCCACAGTAGATTGTTGCTGATGTTTTCCGGACAACAAACATTGAATACCTTTTGTAGACGGTTGTTTAGAAATGCATGTACGTTCTCGCTTTCAAATACCCTCGTACGGCCGAGGTTGAAGAGAGTCCGCTCTCCCTCTCGAAATGCCCTCACATAGCCACGCGTATACAGCCACTATCAGACGGGGTGTTGTTTACGAAATGGAGAGGATGAAAAGCGAATGTCTGGCGGTTTAACCGGTCGGTGGTTACGGGAGATCCACTTAGGGAATTTGGAAAGCCATCTTGTTGAATGCATATATATTTGTAAATCTGTCACCATTCTCGTTTCTTCCTCCTTGTCCATGTCGTCCCATAATATCTTCATACGCGATGTTTTCCATTCTGACTCTGGCGTTTAGGTCTTCCCATCGGGATGGTCATGTTCTTTTGTGGGCACTTCACTATAATCCACTGCATCCTTAAGTAGAACTGATCTTTATCATCGTTATTGCTATTATTTGGTGGGTGCAAAACATTGGATAACATTCGTTGAGATCTCCTCCTTTGTTTTGAACAATGCTTTGATGATTTGGCATCCCTGAGATTCCCACTTTGAGTGCTTTACGTGCATCTTTCGACAGCATCAAAGTAACTCCCTGAGTGTGTGGAGCATTTTATCCTTCATAACCAGAGTACAGCAGCGTCTCTTCTGAATTTATCCTTTTTTGGCCAGCTTGGGTCCAATGGGTTTCGATGATTCGGAGAAACGCCAAGTTGTATCTCCTCATATACCTAACTATTTTATTGATCTCCCCCATTGTCCGAACATTTCATGTACTAATAATAGTTGTTCTGGTTGTTAGAAGGGGCATCGATCTCGTAACTTCCGGAGAATCTCAGCTTTCACCACGTGGCGTCATAATTCTGAATGAGAAACCTTCAACTCTGATAGCAGATTTGTTTAATCTGGTTGTTTTCTACAGGATTGGGTTGCTCACCCTACGCCCAACCCTCTTCTTTTGTCTGGGCTTGGGACCGGCAGTAACTTAAGAATAGACATATGCGGAGTTATATCCCGAAATATAGCAACATTGTTTTCGATTACTCAGCTGAACAGATACAGATTGTAGCTACACGATGTATATCAGATTACAAGAGGGAGGACGAATCATAGAGGATGGCTAATTAGGACAGGTACACGTCCCTTTTTTTGAATAAATTTTATCTTCAGCGTATCCTTAGTTCTATTTCAGATTATCAATTCTACGGAATATTTATCAATACATTTATTAGCTGACCAGAATTTGAGTAGCTGGTACATTACGAATTTCAGACTGTGTGGAGCCATAAACTATGGCTCAGATTATCATGATCTGGCGTAATTCTTAAATGTTTAGTACCATACGCTGTAAAACTTTGTCTGTCGAGACCTTTTCTGTCAGTTAGGCATCTGCAACATAGGACCAGACACATATATGGGTCGGTCCAAGTTGCTACACCTCATTAGCACAAGATGAACAGCAAATTCTCAGTAGTTACTTCAATGGTAGTAATATATAAAAGGAAGATTGCACATAAGGATATGATACAGGGAGAAAGAATTAGTTCGTAGAAAGGTATAAAGCAGTTTTAATCTGTACAAAGTTGTGATGGATTCTGGGCCATTTCACCCAGTTTCCAAACATTGGTTACGATAGTCGCGCGGACCCGGATCAGGTAACCTTCATCTGCCAACATGGCTAAGACAAGAAGTTGGTGACTTCAATCTGCTGTCAGATACATATATATGTCAAGGAATTTAAGAAATCTATGAGACGTGGTCTATTAAATTGATGACGAGAAAGTTTGTTGTTCAAAGTTTATTTTCCAGAAACGGCGAAAACCGCACGTATCTTTGTTATATACAAGAACTATATACTTAGTCTTTCATGATTGTTTTCAAGGTTAGGTTGTGCAACAAATTAACTCAGGTCTGCACTTTTCGTAAATCCAACAGTTTACAGAACCTTACATGTAATCAAACATCAGTACAGCATTTGCTATGAATTACAGCTACCACCAAGTGTAGCTAAGCAGCTTAATTAGAGATACATTGTTCAGCACTTTATATTTAGCATTCGAACATCTGACCTAAAGTACGCTTATTTGTTAAGTTTTGGTGTGTCCAAACATAACAGTGAACTACAATTTTGAAATTTACCTCTGCATAAAGGCATATTACTCGCCTACTTATTTATTTACGGTAGTTTATTTTTCAGTTATTCTCTAAAATAGCTGTTATTTTATACAAGTTGTGAACTAAATTGTCATTTTTCAGGTGGATTTGTTGCAATGCAAGATGTAACCGCCTACCGAGAAACCGCAAAGCATTTTGAGAGTCCAACTGTTAATGTTGTTTTCGATGTACTGTTTAAGCTGATGAATCTCATGTTGATTAAGCCAGAAAACGTACAACAAGTTGTTCAAGATTATTTGCAGTCAGGAATGCCAAGAGATTTGTTGATGAACTTCATTCAACTCAGAACAGATTATAAGTCAGCGAAGCTACAAAATGTGATACAGCTCAAATCAACAAGATAATTTTTTTCATTTATTTATTATTAACAATTCGTGTTCTTCAAGTATTCCATAATTTCTTCATTACTTGCACCATTTTTAAACATTTCAGTTATTTTTTGTGAATACCTGTTATTAAATAAAACTTCAGCTGTTAGTGGTTCTTCCTCAACTAGCTTTGATTGCCATGAGACGTAAGGTTTTAGTTCACATTTGTCTAAGTTGTTAGGTACAATAAAATCCAAGTACATTTCAGGAAAAATAATTTTCTGACCATATATTTCCATGGATGTTGTTGGTTCCCTGAAAACTAAAATTAAGAAGTTAAGATATCGTACCTGGGAATCCAAGGGTATTTTGCACGAGCTTTGCTTTTTTTTAAGTCTAACATCCAGTGGTATCTTGTCTTAAAGGCGATTTTCTGGCGAGACCTTAAGGGTCCCATTGCTACATTGATAGTTCTTATTGATTGTGATTTGTTAGAAATTAAAGAACTTGGGATCAACCTTGTACACTGCATTACCTAGGGAATCATGGTATAAAATCTGTAAGATGATTGTAAGCTAAGATGCTACATAATTACTATTACATAATAAAACACTCTAGAATCACACCCCTGAACACGGAGCTATTCGATAATTAAGTTGTCATAATAGATCACGCTTGACTGGTGTATATCTTGTGGCTTATCACTAGATATTCATGCCCAAATAAAATTAAGTCTTTCCGAAACTGTAGTACAGTTTAGTCACACACGGTCAGTCAATAACGACGTAGGACTTGTCGCAAATTTGTATCACTCCAAGATGCCACATTTTATCACAGAGAGGAAACTACCAAGATTATGATCATATGTGAGTGGTAACAGAAAACTAGAAGTAAGAAGTTCATTTCAAAAACAATAAAGAATAACTCACGAGAAAATTCATGGGATGTTATATCAGATGTGTAAGATATGCAGTATATACAACTGCATCACTATAATCAGTTTTCAACCGGGACCTAACAATAGATCGTGCCCATTGTACGGATACTGATCAAGAAGCTTACTCATTTCGACCAACAGTTAGTAGCTTCATATGCCGACCTAGTGTTTTGGTCTGCATGTTTTTGCTTTTCTCAATGTTACTAAGCATTTCAAGTCAGGTTAGGAGATATTAAGGCTAAGGTTAGGGTGCTGTGCAAAATCTCAACCCGCCCAGGTGTTTGAGGTATGTACTACGTGCGCCAATTTGAAGTGATAAAAATTCCTGACAGGTTCTAGTTCGCGACATACCAGAGAATGATTTACACACTACCGGACCGTTAAGAATCAAGAGTAACTCTGGAGATTTTACACAGCATGCTTGAAAAATCCCATCATAAACAGGTTGGAAACCAACAACTTGTAAACAGGACTTTCAAATTGGTCTAAAATGAGTAGAAAATCACTTATACTAGAAGATAAAACGAAGTCCATGCACGATGGAAAAGGTTTATTTTTAATACATTTACCAAAGCGTTTGGTATTGTCACGAAGTTACGTTGCTTATAAGAGCTTAGAAATCTAATGCAGAGGATCAGTCCAATCATCGAATTTCAAAAACAACAGCTGGTAGCTGGCAATATTTCACGATCAGAGTTAATACTCAGCAGAATTTGTTGAGCTTTTCAGACGCAGAAAATTGACAGGCAGGACAAGACAAGAGGAGAGAAACAAATATGCGCGGTTATCAGAATGACGAGAAATTTATTAGCTTTTCAACGAAAAACATCAGGAAACAAATAAAAAATATGTTGGTCGATAGGATTTTGGAATTTTTCAAAGTAGACTGAATATCTTTGAGGTGGCACAATATTTTAAGAGCGAGACAATTTCTCAACATTGCCTCGTGGATATTTCTACAAAATTCACTCATTACTATGGTTACAAGCCAAAAATTCTTAGTAGACGGGTTTGGAAAATTTGAACGTCAGATCATCGATGCCTGTCTCTTGATGGAAATAATAACCACAATTCCAAATCTTAAAGTCTAGAATTTTTACCCCGATCCTTTCTCGTAGACTATACGAAATAATTCACTATTCAGTCTCCTGTTATAGAGATAGTAGGTCATCTGAAATTTAATTTTTGCATCTCATTTCCCAGTGGAAATCCAGCTTATCCATGTGAAAATACTTCATCCCTTGAGATTTTATTTTTTTGTGGGACGAATGATTCCCAAAATTTTGCATTTCCATTGGCCAGAACGTCTCTCAAAACTGTTATATTTGTTTGAAATTTTGCGAAAGTATTGGATCTTGAGGAAAAGACATTAAAGTGTACTCGACTATCTCTATCTTCCAGAAACTAAAGTTTAACTTTAAACTTTTGGTAATTTCTTCGTATCTATAAGAAAAGGCTATAGCTTTGAGCTACGTTATGGGATAGGGATCCCTAGCACACAGGTATGAGAGAATCTGTAGAGGAAATAAGGACAAAAAGTGAGTCGATGACTCGCTAAGCACGCAGTATGCACCTATATTCATAGGTATAAATAACTGAAGACAAAAGTACCACAATAATGGGATCAAGACAAGCTGAGCGATTACAAACTGCCTCTATATTTGTGAAGGACAACCAAGGTCCAATATTGTTGAACAGATCAAATTGTATAATGAAATCTAAACACTAACAGCTCGTTTCACTTATTTCGTACAAATCCTTGATGGATTTATAATGTTTTACTGATTCATCAGAAGGTTCGAACATCAATCCTTCAAGCAGTAGGTTTGAATTGTTGATTACTTACACCTCGAACTGTGCTTAGTGGAATCAAATGACTGTTCATGAGGGGAAAATACTGAAAACATTTTTCGACGTCATATATTTACGCTTATCTTGTTTTTCCTGAAAATTTTATTCTGAGTAGTAGGAGAACATTTTGACGATGGAAGGTGATTATAAAATGACAGAGTAGACATCCTCATCAGGCTATTGTTAAAGTTTTTCCACAGGGTGCTGTCAGTACTACTTCTCGTGAGGTTTTTGATAGCTTGCCGGCTTTGAACACGAAAAATGTCCGCTTGGATTTTCGGGATAGCTCGTTAGTGAAACATGCTATATGAATACCCTCCTTCAGAGTGGTTTAGTATTAGATGTTATGAGCGATCTGTCTTGAAGAAGTGGATTACAGGTGTTACAATACATCGGGATTATATCCCTTTTAACGCTTTGGCACGGGTTGCAGGGATTTTTAGGCTTACTGAGTGGGGTTTGACATACTTAAATGTGCTTTAATTTGAACTCGTTCCAAGAGAGCGGTGTTATTCTCGAGGTGGGGGAACTTTACGCAGACGTTTCTCCAGGTAGGGCCTTGGCTAGGAGTCGAAAACAGCTTTTAATGGTTCTAATTTAAGTTATATAATACCCTGGAAGAAACCGTAAGAAAAAGCATGCCTTTTTGTCTACAGACCTCTAAATAGAAGAGGAACCTAACTCATCAATATGAGTGGTGCCTAAGTGCTGAAACTCTATTCTGATAGTTTTGCCCAGGTGTTAGATTGTCTCAAAATAGACAAACATACACATATAAAGATATCCAGGGATTCCTTTCAGTTTCTAAAATTAACAAAAAGTGTGTTTCCTAGTTTCACATTGAAACTAAACTGTGATATTGGCAAAGAGCATGAGCGGGTAAGTTTTTAAAATTATGGTCTACTTCGTTATTAGTACTGCCATAATAATAGACTTAGCCCTAAAATTGTAGATTTGACGTGGTTTAACTTCCTAATCTATAAGAGCTTACATGGAAGTCACATCATCGTCTACACCAGCTCATCGCATCGTAACGGTCACCGACAACACTCAAGAATGACCACGTCTGCAAGGTTAAGTCATGCTGAATTAACTGAATGAATGTTTCCGCGTACATCATTATTGACCTACTCATAGTTTTCCATGTTAAAAGTCCATTTTCACAGTTATCTCACGTCCAGATTTGAGGAATGCGGTTAGGATTCAAAGCCACTACAAGTTAAGTGGCCAGAGGCTCACTAAGAGTGTGGATAGAGTAGTAGTTATTAGTCAACTTCTCAATCAGATCTTCATTCCCTGTGCAGCTTGACGTGCTCATCAACGTACGGAGAACCAATTCCATCATGTCGTCCTTTGTCCACCGGCTGCCATGTCGAAATAAACATACGATGTTTATGGAGACAAAGAAGCATACTTACCTTCATGGAATAAATCTTTGGCATGTTCATACAAAGTATGACCACACGGCAACATGTTATCATTGAGACACTAATAGTCACATTGTGAACGTGTTGTATCAACAACAAATATTATAACCTTGTCGTTGCAGCGGATGTATTCTCGCGCTATCATTTTGTCTCATACTACCAACTAGTTTGTAATTTTTGGCCATAGATATGGCTACAAAAGCTCGCTTAAAAGAGTCTGAAGTGAAATTGGAGCTCGAAATTGATGATACATTTGACTACATTTCTTACTTCAAGCTTTGGAAAACGTTGGAGATCGTTTATAGCGTCATCTGGACTCAAACGTAGATGAGTGCCTGAGATACGCCAGAATTTTCTGACTGTCGATAGAATAGAATCACCTCTTCTGAGACATTTTCAAGGCGTTTTTGAGCACTTTCTACACGATTGTTTGTTTGGTTTCCCGAGCTTGGTACATGTCGCCTGTAACAACGAAATCACATTGACTTCTCAGCAATCCAGTGATCTCCTATGTAATTATAGGCCTGTGAAAATTAGGTTCCCAGGTGTTCGTACTTCTAAATAAATCCGAATATGAGTTGTAAAAGGCGAAGCTCACATGTTAGGTCGTCTGGTTTGTGCGAACATCGGAATTTCTGAACTACAACAGATGATTTCTACAGTTAACACTTCCCAGAACAATGCTCTTAAGACAGGAAGCAACAGAGTATTATGTCGGCATGACTGCGTAGACTGTACCGCGGGACTTTCGGTCGCTGATGAATCCATAGAGAAAGCGCATGTATCGTAAGCACTGCACATTATATGTCTGAAGTATTCGAGTAGTCTTACGATGTCTTCGCGTTGTGCTTGCCCGCAAAGAACGTACCTAACAGTGTTTCCTAGCCCAAGACAATCAGTTGTCACTTGCTAGAACAGTGGAAAACGTCAAGATAAATTTGTTATCGTTAGTTGGGCTGGTAAGTCAAGTCAATAAGTACCACCTCTGAAAACGCGCGGTAGATAGTTACTTGCTCCCAGCGAATGAGGCAGATCGTAGATATGTTCATAGAAAACTTTTACTCTACTGTTTGGCTGGACGCGCTGTAAAATCCCGTTGATATTTCTAGTGTCTAGATTAATTTAATTAGCATGTGAGTTTAGCAACCTGGTTGAAATCGTCACCGGATTTTGGTGATATTGTTCTTGGTAAACTGTTTATGGAACTTCTAAGAAGTCGGATGTGAAATGCCTCGCGTCGACGTATTACTCAACAGGAACGGTCTTAAATATAATCGCCCACTCACCGACAAATTCAGTCTCGACGGATCTACAGAAATGCACAAGTATAGTTGTGTACGGTTTTAATAGAGGTGACGCTTAGCTCACAATTTACTACATGGATCCAAAATGCAGATTAGCAGTGGCAGTATTTCGACTTGAAGGATACATTCAGTTGAAATTCAGAATACGTAGATGACCGACGTCGTGTTCATTGTCTAGGTTGCGGTGGTGAGTAAGAAGGTGCATGCTCTCCGGGAGAATGTTGGTCACTATTATCAAACTTCGGATTCTGGTACACTGCGTTTACGTCCATAAGTATACAAACATATCTGACGAAAAATACTCTAGAGTTGGGTCATCATCATGAAATACTTATTGTGCATTTATTGTAAAAATAACTATAGTCACATAAATCATGTTGCTCTATGTACTTCTAGAAAGATCTCAACATTGTCCTTACTGGTAAATTGTCGCGATAACATAATATCATATAGGTGGGCTACCTGTCCATTCACATAAGGTTCATACAGAAAAACAGGACGAAGCTCATGCGTTCCAAATTGAAAGCATAAACTGCTTATATACGAACGCCGCGAGTTTACCAAACAAACTGGATGAACTACGTGAACTTAGCGACGCTAACAAGGCCCATCTGATAGGAATATCTGAAACCTGGACATCTTCTCAGTTCTCGGATCAAGAGTTAGCATTGCCTGGGATGACTTTGTTCCGCAACGACAGAAAAATAGGAATTGGGGGCGGAGTAGCCATATACATAAGCTCTTGCTTGGAGGTGCACCAGGTTCACAACCTCGAGTTTAACAATCTTGAGGAATCCATATGGTGCTCTGTAAGGTTGTCTAGTACTTCCAGGTGTCTAGTCGGAGTCATTTACAGGAAGCCAACTGCCGACACCGAGTACGATAGTCGTATGCTGGAAGGACTATCCCGCTCTATCCGTCTCGGTTTCACACACATCCTGATTCTAGGGGACTTTAATCTCCCTAGAGTCAACTTCGCGGAACACACGTACACTGGAGGCGACAACTCAACTGAAGCTCGGTTCTTCAACCTCATCGATAACTTGGGCTTATATGAAAATGTGAGGTCGGCAACTCGTTGGAGAAACAGTCAGACACCATCGCGCTTAGACTGTGTATTCACTAACGAAGAATTCCTAGTCGACAACCTCTCAATCCTGGCTCCTCTGGGAAAAAGCGATCATGCCGTCATAGCCTTCAGTTTTGTCATCAAAACTAAGCTAAGGTATCCCAACAATAATTTGCGTTGGAATTTTAAACGGCTGAATGTGCGAGCTCTACATGACCATCTACAACAGGTGGCTTGGGATGTTCACCCTCAAATCGATGTGGATGGTCATTGGGACTTCTTACTGCACACGCTCTTATGTGCTACAAACCATTCAGTTCCTCAAACGGTTCCCAAAAGCTTCAAGCCACCTACAGTAATCAAGAACCGTACCCTTCGCCTCCTAAGCCGCAAACGGCACTGTTGGGCGGAATACAAACGAACTAATAACGATGGAGCGTATAGGCAATACAAACATATCAGGAACACATGCACGAAGGCTATAAGAGAAGACAGGCTTCAGTACCAAACAAAGCTTATGGACAAATTCGCCTCTAACCCTAGAAGCCTATTCCGTTATGCAGCCTCTCTTCGTCAAGCCAAAACAGGAGTTTCTCAACTGCTAGGTCTTAACGGCCCGACCAACAACGATGGCGACGCCGCTAACCTTCTGGCGGCCCATTACTCTCAAACATTTCAACCGGCTGATATCAACTTTATTGACGACAGTTTCATCTGCAATTCCACAGGACTTTCTGAAGTGGACCTAAGCGCTGACTTGGTGTTCCGGAAATTGCAGCACTTAAGACTTGACACTTCTCCTGGCCCGGATATGGTTCATCCTGCCATACTGAGGGAGGCAGCCTCAATCCTGGCAACGCCGCTTAGCGTGATGTTTTCACACTCGCTTAGCCGAGGCAAATTACCGGAAAATTGGAAGTTGGCTCACATCACACCAATTTTCAAAGGTGGTCGACGCAATGAACCTTCAAGTTATCGGCCGGTGGCTCTTCTGTCATTACCTTCAAAACTCATGGAGTCCCTGATATGCGACGGTTTAAATGACTATCTACTGTCCTTAAATTTCTTCTCACCCCAACAGCATGGTTTCAGGAAGGGTTACTCTTGTATAACCAACCTGCTGACTGCGGTGGACAGATGGACAAGCATCCTCGATCGCAAGGGAAAGGTTGATGTCATTTACCTTGATTTCTCAAAAGCTTTTGATAAGGTTAACCACTTGTGTCTTATCAACAAGCTCAAACGACTAGGTATCAAACCACCTCTAATCGACTGGCTTACTTCATACCTAAAAAATCGACACTTTAAGGTTAGGGTTAATTTCACTTTATCTCAAGCTATGGAATGTCCTAGTGGGGTCCCCCAGGGCTCAGTACTAGGGCCTCTTCTCTTCTTGATTTACATAAATGATCTTCCTCAACAGGTAACGTCAGACTTATTACTTTTTGCCGACGACGTGAAACTTTGGAGAGAGATACGCAACCAAGACGATATACAGGCTCTTCAAGAGGATCTGACTCGACTTCATAGTTGGGCAGACGATAACGGACTTACCTTTAACACTTCTAAGTGTAAAGTAGTCCATCTGCGACATGTCGCAAACTACAGTTACAACTTAGGAAACTCCTCTCTAGTAGTATCCCAAGTCGAAAAAGATTTAGGAGTCCTGGTGCCCCATGACTTAAAGTCTTACGCTAACTGTGACAAAAATGCCTTCCGAGCAAACCTTGCACTGGTAACGTTGAGGCGCATTTTTGGTCAGTTTGACGGAAGAACTTTCCACACAATCTTCAATAGTTTCATCCGTCCCCATTTAGAGTACGGAAACATAGTACTCCCCCCTCACTCCAAAAGGATAAGGTCACTTTGGAGCGTATCCAACGGCGAGCCACGAAATCAGTTCGAGGACTCAAATCTAAGCCTTACGAAGAACGCCTCCGTTCACTAGACCTTTACCCACTAGAATATAGGCGTCTTAGAGGTGATTTATTAATGGCTTATAGTATTCTTAACACTTCTGGACATCCTCTTAAACACCTACTTAAGCTTAGTTCGAACAATAACCTAAGGGGTAACACCCAGAAACTGGAAACACAACATAGCAAGACGGAATGTAGACACAACTTCTACTCCTTAAGAGTTGTCAAAAGCTGGAATTCGCTGCCGGCCGAGCTAGTCCAAGCGACTTCTCAGGAGTCCTTCAAGAGGCAACTTGACCTATTCTTAAGGACCAAGGACAGCATCGCACTATGATTTACCAATTTCTTTTCCTCTTTTATTGTTAACATACCTAGGTTCCTGCCTGGAGGATTTGGTGATCCCCTGCTACTAGACACGGAAGCCTGTTAAGCGAAAGCTTCTTCTATTGAACCATTTGAACCATTCATTATATGTCCTGCATCATTGCGGTGGCATCACTTTCGTTACTTAAAGGATGGAAGTTATCAGACATAATGTGGCTGAACTTAAATCAATTGTTTTGATGTGACCGCTTTTGTAAAACCTTACGAACTGTCTAGGTGACGCACCAATCGTTTAACGATGGTTTGACCTTCAAGTGCTCAGTGACCTCCACCAGTAGACGATACCACTAAAGCGTTGAATTGATCGTTGCTTTGCTTATTCCTCTATCATATCAGTACTGTTATCATGTTAGTGAATGGTGATAGTGATGTAGTGGGAGAAGCTGCTAAATTTCACAAACCAGGCGAAAATTATAATTCTCCCGGTTACATTGTGACAAAAGATACTATGAGGTTATTGAAAGAACACATGAAGCAAACCGGTGGTATAGTAGTTACAAGGTTTCCTCCTGAACCAAACGGTATTTTACACATCGGCCACGCAAAAGCGATCAATTTTAATTTTGGTTATGCAAAGGTTAGTTGATACCACTGCGATCTATTATTTTTAGAAACATGGTGGCATAACCTACTTGCGATATGATGATACAAACCCTGAAAAGGAGGAAGCAGAATTTTTCGAAGCTATTGAGGACATGGTTCGATGGCTGGGTAAGTCTTTAATAAATTAATAGTTGTCAGGCTTTACTCCATACAAAATTACTTATGCCTCGGATAATTTCCAACAGTTATACGAATGGGCAATTAAGTTAATCAAATTAAAGTTAGCTTATGTTTGTCATCAGGCCGTAGAAGAAATACGAGGTTTTAATCCACCAACTTCGCCCTGGAGAGACAGACCGATTGAGGAATCCTTGCGACTGTTTGAGGATATGAAAAACGGCAAGGTATGCATATTCCATATCGGTTACGGATATTTGGAAACTTTATTACCACATATCTTTACATAACCTTAGAAATAAATTTTGCTGGTTGGAAAAGCATCTAAATATCCTGATTATATTGTTTTGAAGGCAATATGAAGATTCTTGTAATTCGTATTACCAACACTTCGAACTGCGAAGACAGTATTCACGTTAAATTTAAAATTAAACCAGTACTCGCAACGCAAAGTGCAGTACGTATTCCTCACAGTGCGTTCTGGACCCTTTTTTCAGTCAGCGCCTTAGAACATATTTAGATGTACTGGGTGTACCTGATAGTCTGAATCTCTTGCATCAAGAACTCCAGACTTATAACAAGTATTTTTTATGATATCTCAATTAGTAGAGTATTGTATTTCTGATGTTTCGAAGCATGTCGGATTCTCAATGAGATTAGCAGAGAATTTTTTTACAGTAATATAGTATCCATACAAATAATACCACGTCGAACCTAGGATTACCCGAGTTTTAACCATATGCTATTCAGTTTTGATACTCGGAGGGTATAACTAAGTCTATGAAAGCTTACGCTAACGTATAGTCCTTGTTTCTAGTCAATGTAATGCCAAAATGTGAGATTTTAACCCAACGGTCATAAATAATTCGCTCTAAATATTAGACAACTTTGCTGACTTGTGTACCTGAGAACTTGTCTTCATGTCAATGTAAGCATACACTGATTTAATTTTCATGTACTGTATATCACTTATACAACTATTAGAAAACAATATAAATTCGTCACTTGTCCGTAGTTTGTTCGTTTTCACCTACAAATCAACATTTCGAAGCTATATCTGAATTTTCGACACTATTACGTGTTATTTCTGTTTTTAACTAGGCGATGGTTATAAATGAACTGGAGGGTATATCCTGTAACATTATATTACGTTGTATGCTTTCGTAATTCCTTACTGCTATTTAGATTGACGAAGGTATGGCTACTTTACGTATGAAAGTGACATTGGGCGATGGGAAAGTGGATCCAGTAGCTTATCGCATCAAGATGACTCCCCATCATCGTACTGGTACTGAGTGGTAGGTTATTTACTTTTCTGTACTCTATGTTACAATTTAATTTAGGTGCATTTACCCTACTTATGACTATACTCATTGCTTGTGTGATTCCATCGAGAATATCACACATTCATTATGCACTAAGGAATTTCAGTCACGGTAAGTAGCAGCAAATAAAATGATACATGTACAATACTAAGATTTTTGTCTAGGTACGATTTTTGTCATTCCCTATTGCAAAAGTATTTAGTTGTGTAATGGTAGAGCTTAAGATATACGGCAGTGAATTTAGATTAGTTCTTTTTAATAGACATAAAACAGTAAGGTTTTTAAAATGCATCATTTAAGGTATGTTACCCATACAAAATCACCACCCATATGAAAGATTTATTTTACTGAAAAAGCGTGATAGAAAAATTATTCATCAAACCATGTCAGATTATCTGCATTAACTAATCGTTGGTTCAATTCGTTAACAGAAATATGGATTTCTCGATTGTATCCATACTAATTCATTGAAATTGACTTAGCAGTGAGTGGTGCAACTGAAGGTAGAGTGCGTTATATCTATTACGTGTTTACTGCCAGATTTTGAGTATTTCTTTACTGTAAATGTTTTGATCTTTGTTTTCACCTGTTACTCTAAGCTTTCATCATTCACACTTATAAAATGATCACTGAAGTGAACTTAGCCAAAAGGTTAGCCTAATAGCATTAGATCGCTTGAATAACTAAATGAACAGAAGATCAAACTTTTCAGTGTTAGCTAGCCGTGACAGCTGTAACTTAGAAATGATTTGATTAGAATGAACGATAATGTTGTAATTAAATGAAGAATAGTGGGTGGGATGAAGAGTGTTTATGAAGTCTATAGGTTAAACAAGTTGAAAAAGTTAAACATCATTAGATAAAGGAAATATGATATGTCATCTCATGTCATTGTTGTGAATTCGAACCCATTGACAGACAATTTTAGTGGTATGTATTCAGAGAGATTCTTGTGAATAAGATCCTTTCCGCTCTTCTAACATGTTATTGCAAATACTGATAAACAACTACAAATGAAGGTAAATAAAGATCTCTAGTCTAAGACTCTATAACTGTGCCTTTTGTTCCATATGTGATAATCAAATTAGTGGCAGAAAAGGTTGGTGTAATATCGATTTCTGATCGATGGCTACTTTGCGGGCTAGAATCATCCCCTTTGAATAAAAGTTTAACAAATACTTTTTTATCAGTAGTGGTGGTTTGTTGTGAAATTCCAATTATTGGCTCAAAGTGTTCGTTAACAAACTTTATGGAATGGTCATTGTCAATTTGAGTTCTTCGAATGCTTTCCACTTTTCAGATAAATCTTCACGACATTGCAGTATTTTTTGAGAATAGCTCTATCAAGACGTTTTATTTGTAACTGATTAGAAGCTGCTGAAATGAAAATGTTGACCCGTTTAAGAACTTTCGCTGTAAATAGAACCTAATCGAGTCCAAGAAATTCACTCTATTTTGTGTTTCGTACTCTTGTGGATTTGTAATTCTGCCGACCCTGAGAAGAAACCATCTACTTTATGATTCATTTAACGCCTTGTGCTATGTTGACGAAATCAGGACTGTCGTGTATGTAGCCAGTTATTTTCTTTTGGGATTAGTCAGTCGATCAAGCCATTAAGCTTATTTAGTTGTCCATTATTCATTCCTAAGATGACCCATGGCTTGTTATCAGTCATACAAGTTGTTAGCGGGACATAGACTAGATTAAAGCATGCTCAATGCATGATTGCTTTGGTGCACGCTGATTGGCTAATTCTTATCCAATCAGCACTAGCCGATAGTTGGAGAACACTCTGGAATCTTCTTATGTAAAAACTATAAATATACTGACGTTTTCCCTATTGTGCTTCTGACTTGCTTCTGACTTGCTATTTGGAATATAATCTCTTTCCTGTTCAACTGTGTTCTGATTTGGGGTCTTGTCGAGTGAATCGGTGTCCAAGGATACTAAGCAATAGGAATAGCTGGGTCATAACCGTAAGAAAAGCGATTTATAACACAAGTCATAGGTAGATCCTACAACCTTGTGAGGTAGGTGTCTATTGGTTTGAAATCTCACAAGTTGACTCACCTATTTCTCTTTTCTTCAGTAATTTGTTTAGAAGGTGACTAAGTTTCCCAGTTTGGTGTCATATCTTTACTCAGCTTATCCGTAGCGAGATGTTTCTCATCATCTGGTAATTTATACGTTCAGAGATATCCTGGTTTATTGTTCCAAAACCGAGGTCTGAAAGGAGCTGTTCGTTCATTGAATCTAATGGAAAGCAGCTATCATTTTCATCAGCTTATTTACAATGTTCCTATACCCTTTTGGTAACAGATATATAGGGGCCCCTGGTGTGGTAGAACGTTTTGTCGGTAGGGTCATAAGTCTGAATTTGAACCAATTTTTCGTATCTCTCAATATAGGCATTAATTGATAAAGCTGATTATGTTAATTTTTAAACTTATATCTTTAATCAGTTTGGCTTCTTATTGTTTAGGACATGAAATTTAAAGCTTTTAGGTAAGGTTCCTAAATCTAGTTTGTTTAAGCGAATATTAGAAAATTCTTGATGTAATTTCTTGAACTTGTCTAAAGGATGTGTCTCTCTAACTAATGATTTTCAAGCGAGTGCGAATGTGGAAAATAATTCTTATTCATTAGTTAACTAAGAGATTTTGTGCATGATACACAAAAAATGCCATTCACAAGATACTTTACTGATACAAACTAGTGCTTAAGTGAAGAATTTAAAGACTACAAAATGGAATAAATTACTGGTTGTGATTATTCTGAGAGCGTTTCGATTAAAAGTGACGGATGGTATGCTAGTCAACTAATAAGGAAAAACAATATAATGAGACCGAGTAAGTGTTCTCAAAACTATATTTATTTACAGTTTTCAGATATCAGAAATGGTGAACAACTATTTGGACACTTGTAGTCATACAATTTCCCCTTTTTAGTAGACTAAAACTTGGTCAGAAATTTCATAGCTTATAGTTGATGGGCTGGGGACAACACTTAAAGGTTACGAAAGTAGCTAATAAACTAGGCACTTCAGATATCGACGGGAATTCAGTCTGTTATTTAGGGACTTATGCCGATTTGTTTTTTAAACAGTATTTTATATGTTTCAGTTCTCATTATTCGTCGCTATATATATAAAGTTTAGAATTGTATAACTGGTAATAATGTATCTTGAATTCATTGTTTTAGACGTCCTGCGTATTATTGGCTTTGTAATTCACTAAATCTTTATTGTCCAGTTCAGTGGAATATGGTCGCCTCAATTTGTATTACAGTGTGGTGTCTAAGCGCAAAATTTTAAAGCTGATAGAAGCCGGTATTGTTAATGACTGGGATGATCCACGGTTAGTAACTTTGACAGCACTCCGTCGTCGTGGATTTCCACCTCAAGCTATTAATATGTTTTGTGAACGCATTGGCGTTACTATGGCTCAAACAATCCTTGATCCTTCTGCTTTAGATGCTTGTGTACGGGACTATCTGAATGATCATGCACCACGTGTGATGGCTGTTTTAGAGCCAATAATAGTAACTATTACGAATTGGCATGAACTGTATGGCGATAAGTCTTCTGTCGAGGTAAAATGATTTTTTATTTTCGAAATTCTTTACATTCACTGTTTAGGTTGACAGCAAACTCATTATACTTTACTTTTTGTTTTTAGCTTACAGTTGCGGATTTTCCTGCTATTCCAGACAGTAAGACTCATAGTGTCCTGTTGCAACAGGAGCTGTACATAGAAAATACAGACTTTCAAGAAGTTGCTGGGAAAGGATATCGTCGTTTAACACCTAATCAACCAGTTGGTCTTCGTTACACAGGCCTTGTTTTACAATTTTCCGATTTAAAAAAGTAAACTATACTGTTTTAGGTTCTTTTATGCAATTCTTGGCTTTGGTTACATTTAAATTTCATAAAACATTTGTTTTCTGATCATTACTTTGATGTGCATATACATATATTAATACGAAATTTTAGACAATATTTTTAAGTACATGTTTTCCAAGAAAAAATCACACGGTTTTATTCAATTACTGCGACAGAATCGTGATATCAAGTTGCTACGCTCCTTAGCGGCACAAGAAATTAACTTACATTCGGAATTTTTTGTAAAAATGTATCAAAATAAGTTCTGAATAAAAGTAATTCTGAAAGTCATATGTATTAGTTATCCAAAAAACGTTTCGTCTTACTTTTGCATCTCAAACAGTATTTTAACTCAATAATCTTGTAGAATCAATCCGTAGCCCCCTAACAAACGTTATATTTTTCCAGTTTCTCATTCATTGGATGTGGTACACATGACTTCTGTAAGTTTTAGTTTCTGCTTAATTTTTATAGTTATTAATGTTACATTGCTGAATTATTCCCATTTATCTCTGAATTGCGCTTCACATAGGATTCCGATGGGAAAATATCTCATTTATTTGTGAAAGCCCAGAAGGTAGAGGATTCTACTAAGCCAAAAGCTTTTATACATTGGGTGTCCAATCCTTTGCAGTTTGAAGCTCGACTGTATGACCGATTGTAAGTTTAGGTTTATAGCTTATATATAATATCTCAAAATTAGTCATTCACGGGGTCAGTAAGATTTATTATCTGGTGTTTTTAGGTTCACCGTCAAGGAGCCAGAAAGCGAAAAGAATGGATTCTTGTCTGTGATTAATAAAGTATGTCCGAATAAATTTGTATCATTTTTACTGTTTTTTTGTTTTTGTGCAGACAGGTTAGTTAGGCCGTTATACAAGTTCAAGAGAAATATTAAATCAAATATTAAATCAAAAAACCAAAAATAGGTTCCAAGAACAACTGAGTTCACACTTAGGTAGTTCTGAAGACGAGGCTGACCCAGATGTTGCTTGGAAAGACATACAAGCAGCTGTGGAAACAGCAGTGACATCTATTAGCGACTTAAACCACAGAGTTACAAAGAACCAGTGGATTTCTTCAAAGTCTATCACACTGATGGATTCTCGCAAACTCGTCCCATCAGGTTCCGAACATGATGAAGAGCGACAACAAATCAGATCTAGGTTAAGAAAAAGTCTAAGGAACGACCGTGAGCAGTGGTGGGCAACGAAAGCAAAAGAGATGGAAAAGGCGGCGACTATAGGGAACACAAGACAGCTTTACAGACTAATAAAAGAAACTGGAATTAATAAGTCAAGTGTAAGTGAGATTATATCGGAAAAAGGCGATACTCTCATCTGCTCCCAGTCCAGACGTTTAGAACGATGGGCGGAACATTTCAGAGAACAGTTCAGCTGGCCTTCAGCTACTCTACAACTACCCTCCATTCCCAGACAGCGTGAATGGAACATTGAAGTAGGTCCCCCAACTCTCGCTGAAGTTCAAAAGGCTATAGTTAATCTGAAACGAGGAAGGGCAGATGGACTGGCTCCAGAAGTCTTTAAGGATGGTGGTCCAATTTTAGCGACTAGGTTGACTAATATTTTAGCTAAGATCTGGGAGTTAGACGTTATCCCATCTAACTGGTCACAATCACTTATCGTCCCAATATATAAGAAAGGGTCAAAATCATCCTGTGACAACCACAGAGGGATTAGTTTAACTAATATAGTATCTAAAATACTAGCCTCGATAATTATCAGACGCCTAACTAAGACTCGTGAACTGCAAACACGAGAGAATCAAGCTGGCTTTAGACCTGGTCGTGGCTGCATCGACCACATATTCACCATTCGTCAGATTCTAGAACACAGGCATACTTATCGGCGTCCGACAATGGTGGTCTTTCTCGACTTAAAAGCAGCATTTGACTCGGTAGACCGCGAGATTCTGTGGCAGTGTCTGTCATTGAAAGGCGTACCCAGAAGTACATAAACCTTGTGAAGGCTCTTTACTCGAACACTACTAGTCGAGTCAGAGCTTATGGCGAACTGTCATCTAGCTTTGCAACCTCAAGTGGTGTCCGTCAAGGATGTCCACTTTCCCCATTTTTGTTTAACTTCATCATAGATCTACTGATGGAAATAACTTTCTCGTCGACTGAGTTCTCGGGTATTGATCTCCATCCAGGAGGTCCACTTATCGACTTAGAATACGCAGATGACATAGTCCTGTTTGGTGAAGACGCTGACAAAATGCAGAGTCTTCTGGTAGCACTGAGCAACAATGCCAGGATGTTTGGAATGCGCTTCTCTCCCTCTAAATGCAAGTTGTTGCTTCAGGACTGGTCTGCGTTAACACCTGAACTAAGGATAGGGAGTGAAGTAGTCGAACGCGTTGACAACTTCACTTATCTTGGAAGTCTGATCAGCCCTAATGGGTTGGTGTCTGACGAAATCTCAGCACGGATTCGAAAAGCTCGTTTGGCTTTTGCCAACTTACGTCACCTGTGGCGAAGGCGAGATATCCGTCTATCAATAAAAGGACGAGTATACTGCGCGGCAGTCCGTTCTGTTTTAATTTACGGCAGCGAAACATGGCCATTAAGAGTAGAAGACACTCGTAAGCTACTAGTATTTGACCACAGATGCCTTAGAAATATTGCTGGCGTCTGCTGGGATCACCGGGTAAGTAATAGTGAGGTTAGACGCAGGGTATTAGGGAATGATGGTAAATCAGTTGATGAGGTTATGAATCTTCATCGACTGAGATGGTTGGGCCACGTGTTACGTATGCCTGAACACCGATTACCACGACGTGCAATGCTATCCGGTATTGGAGATGGTTGGAAGAAAGTTAGGGGCGGCCAAACCAAAACGTGGCATCAGTGCTTGAAGTCACTAACTTGTAGTCTGAGCCATGTTGGTAGATGCAGACTACTTGGTTGGGGTCCGCGTGACTATCGTAACCAATGGTTGGAGACTCTTGGTGACATGGCTCAGAATCGATCACAATGGCGTCGGTGTATACACTCCCTGTCTTCCCTTAAACTAAGAGATTAAAATCGCTTCATATCTTTCTTTCTACGAACCAATTCTTTCTTCTTGTATTATATCTCTATATGCAATCTTTCTCTTATATATTACCACCTTTGACATAACCACTGCTATGAATCCGGTGTTCATCTTGTTGTGCTGATGCGGTATGGCAACCTGGACCGATGCACATATGTGCCTGGTCCTACGTTGTAGCTGACTGACTGACTGAGTTATGTGTTAACAATTGATAATCAGTTTAGTCTACGAATTGTACAAACATCTCTCCATTTAATGATAAGATTGTTCCTAAAACTCACTGGTAGCACTTAATCATTCAGCATATGCTTAATGCAATAGATTTTGTATGTTTTCATCGACACCATACAAGTAAGAAAATCATACAATACCAGTCTGTTCACATTACTGAACGATATCTTTGAGACCTTTTTGAGACATCCTTTTTCATCAGTTTTGGATAGATACTCTTAGTCCTGGTATATTGCAATATTTCCTGATTTACTCAAATTTAATAGACAACCACGTATTGGAATCGATCCAGTGCATTTTTTCAGCTAATTACAGTTGATACTTAAGCGTTTCCTCAGATCAACGTTTTGTAAGACTTGTATTGTGTTTTGTTTTATTTTGCAGTAATATTTATTTATACTTACCAATGAGCATTAAGAAAATCAGTATAAAGTAATCTGGCTAAACTGCAATTAAATCACAGTGTTTCGTTTGGATGTCTTTTCTCTAACTTCCTAGCCATAAATAATAATAGTTTGAGGTGTATAAACAATAGTTTTATTCCACAACCATTCAATATTTTCCTTTTCTTGTATGTGTATGTATGCAATAACTGCAATGTTTATGCTTCTCTAGGGTGGCCACAATTTCCATCAGAAAGAGATCCGTCCCAACTGTTGAAGAAAAGGGGCTGAAGCTTTCGTTTCTAAATACTACATATTTACCTAAACTTAATAAAGGAGGAAGTTAATTCACTGTTCTAGAAATGATATGTAAATCACTCACTTTATTGTAGTTTTTTAAGTATATTAAAGCCATGCTTCTTAGACAGAGTCATATATAAGGTATTGTGATTACTAGCTTTTTGTAAATTTCAGGTTAATTTCTGAAGACTTCTGATTTTTTATCGACATTAACCCATTAAACTATGTTGGCAACCATTATGTTATGTAATTTCTCACTTGCTTTTCATCATAAGATTATAATATTCCGTCTAATAAATGGATTTTCAGTTTTCATTTAAGTGCTACCATTAAGTTTGTTTGATTCATTACCAGTTGTTTTTAAACTATTCATTAAATTTATGATTTTTTGCCTTGAATTCCAACTAAATATTTTTGCGGTATTGGTGTTTGTTGGATCAAACATTTTGAATAATTATGCACTGATTATCGAGGTCGATAAACCTCAATGGTTCTGCTCCACATAAATAGAATTCAAAGAGAAACTATCACTTATTGTTAATAGTTCAGTATCGATAGTGTATTGAGAAGGTAGAGTCGATCTGAAAAATTCGATGTATTTCCACAGTTATCACTTTGTAAAGACCAAATAATTTTCAGCTTTCGTATAAAATACCGTCACGAGGTTTTTCGAAGTGTTGCGCAAGCACATTAGTTTTTTTCCAGGTCACTTTTGTCTCTTAATAAACTTCAAATTGTATTTATTTGTATAATCCATTTTCGATTACGTGAACTATACGCAACCAACTTTCACATTGTTCAGAACTCATTAGTCATAATTCCGGGTGCTTTGATTGAACAGTCTGTCAAAAATGCTGAGGTTTACACTGCCTATCAATTTGAACGTATTGGTTTCTTCTCTGTGGATCCTGATACTAACTCAGAACGTGTAAGTCCTTTATTCTCTGGCAGCTATTATTTGTACTGTTTACTATAAAAAGAATCTCAGGTAAACCTTAAAAAGACTACAAAATATAGTGATTTTGTTTTACATCTTTGAATTCTTAACACCTTGTTTTCAACTTATTATTTAGAGTAAACTTGAGTGTACACCTGAATTACATAAAAGAATGAAACATCTATCTAGTAAACTATAATTCACAAATGATTACTAATCTAAATGGTTCCCTGTATTTAAGTTTAAAAATTTGAATAGTAACGTCTACTTTCATAAAATTTGTAACTGATGGTCTAACATTTGCTCACTTGTATTATCGTCAAATGAGTACCATTGTAAAGTACTGATCTATGAAGAAAGAATTGGCTTTTGTTTATTCTAAAAAAATAAGACGGTTTTACTTTCGCTGTAATCATCTTTGTGCGCCACATCATTATTGCTTCCTTATGTTTCTATTTTGTTTTAGATGGTTTTCAATCGAACTGTTGCTCTAAAAGCCGATCCTGGTAAAACAATTTAACATCAAACATGTATAGTGCTATGTGACTTGTAATAAACTTCTTACGTTGGATACCCTTTTATCTTTGTTGCATTTATCACACTACACGTGCCGAGACATTTTGAGTGTTGGATAATGTTTAATCAGTGATAATATCACTTCAAAGCTTTCGCTTAGTGGGTATAGTTGCCTGTATTCATAAAGTAGTTTGTGATTTTCGGATTTTAAGGTTTTAAACATTTAGTAATATTTTCGGTCGCCAGATGATTAATAGGATATTTACCTGTGAATGAGAAACCGCAATCACATTTTTTTATCTTTATTAAGGGGCGTTTTTAAACCCATTTGAAACGCAGGATGGTACTAAATTTGTATCGATGTTGACGAGATCCATCATCTTTGTTTAAAAATAGCCAGTTATGTAAATACTAGTCAAGTAGACCGATTACGTTGCTGAGCCTCACTGAACGCAGGAAAGCCACATTAAGAAGACCCATTGGCGTTGAACTCGGCGATGAGAAGGTCAAAGGTAAATTCCAGGGCTAACTGTAGTCACACTTAAGCAATTTTGAAAACGTGGCTGACCCAGATGTTGTTTAGAAAGATGTACGAACAGCTGTGGAAACAGCAGTAACATCAATTGTGATTTAAACCAAAGGGTTACGCAAAACCAGTGGATTTCCACCAAGTCTATTGCACTGATAGATTCTTGTAAACTCACCCCATCAGGCCCTGAACACAATGAAGAACGAAGACAAATCAGATCTAGGTTAACGGAAAGTCTAAGGAACGTTCGCGAACATTGGTGGGCAACGAAAGCAAAAAGTGGAAAAGACAGCGTTTGTAGGTAACACAAGACAGCTCTTCAAACTCATAAAAGAAACTGAAATTAAGAAGTCAAGTGTGAGACGATCTCGGAAAAAGACGACACTCTTATCTGCTATCAGCCCAGACGTTTAGAATGATGGGTGGAACACTTTAAGGAGCAGTTCAGCTACTCTGCAGCTATCTACAATTTCCAAACATCCTGAATGGAACGTTGAAATAGACCCCTCGACTCTAATTAAAGTTCAAAAGGCTATAGCTAATCTGAAACGAGGAAGGATAGCTGGTCCAGATGGATTGGTTTCATAGGTCTTTAAGAATGGTCGTCCAATTTTAGCGATTAGGCTAACTAATATTTTAGGTAAAATCTGGAAGTTGAACATAATCCCATCTGAGTCAGAGCTAATGGAGAACTATCATCTGTTTTTGCAACCTCAAGTCGTATCCTAAAAGGTTGTCCACAATCTCTTTTGGTCTATTTCATCATAGTGAATTAAGAAAGATTAGTATCGATGTCTTTTGCTAAATATGGTGTTAACACTGTTTCCGAGTACCAAATTGATGGCTAATATATGGCAAAGCAGTTCAATTCGTTTAACTTTACACGTATTAACCCTATAACTGAAATACTAAAAAACTATCATAATCTTATGGTAGTTCTCGTACACTGATGTTTTTTTAAACTCTTAAGTCGTTAACTCCTAAGTAAAGCTTTAGTTTCGCTCATGAGGGTTAACCAGTTATTTAACTCGTACGCTTTCATACCTGCAGAATTTATCACATATACTTAATTTCCCTCTACCCAAACGAATGATAGTAATGGAGCGAGACTAATTTTAATGCTAAATACGTATTGTCTTGTTTCGAAATTTTTTAGGAGTCTATTTCCATAATTCTTTGGTGTTATGTCTAAACGCCAATCTCAATGGAGTAGGTATATTCGTTCTTTATCGTCCAACATATCTCAAATACAGTACGTTCTTATTAGTTCTTCGGGCTACTTTTATTGTTTAAATACTTGTACAGGAGCTTCTCAGTCAAAGTTCTAAGCCTTTCTATCAAATAGTTTCAATGATCTGATGTAAGTCCTGGAAATTAGAGTACTTTTTTCACCAGGTGCCTGACGAACGGTTCATTCTTTACATGGTCACGCCGATTTCGTAGGCTGTAGAAGTGTTACATAACCCAACTAAAATTATTTAGTAATGGGGTTGTATATATGTTTCTCGTTTCTAAAATAAATATCTATCAATTCAGGTCTCCAGACTACAAATCCACATACGGACTTTTTTGGAACGGAAAGTTTCATTATCGGAACACTACATGAACACTTCTTTTGAGAGCGCTGATGTATAGAAACTGGTTTTTGTTTCTTGTTGGTTTGATTGTACTTGTTCATTGCTTTCTCGGCCTAGTTTTTGATTTGATGGTCAGTAGTTACTCTCCATTTTTATGCTTCGTCCCCAGAATACATTCACTATCAAACATATCTTAACCTTTTTTTAAATAACTTATTTCTAAATGTTTTGTACATACTTGAATCCTTTTAAGTATACTTGTCATTTTTGCTTAAAATTGAGACGGCATGTATCTGGTATTATATTATTTATAAGAAGTTAGAAAGAAAAGAGTAGTGAAGCGGTTTCATTCTGCTATCAATAAAATATACTTGAGGCTCCGAGGAAATGTTTCAAAAGTACGTATACTACTTATAATTGGTATAAAATATATAAGGAAGTTATCAAAGTAGTGGACAGTCATGTGAAGATAATAGTTAGTTTGATTGATGATACATTAACATTTCACGTAAATATATTCACGTGTGAATAATTCCTTGTAAACCAACGTTCTGAGAATATTGAAAGAATTTAAGTTTGTCAGGGCATTGATAAGGGGGGATTTTAGGAGCGGTAAGTAGCCGTACATCTACTAATTTCAAAATAATCAAGACTCATATTTTCTTTGTATATTGAGACAAGTGTTTGTGATTATATGTACTCGTCAGTAAAATGTTTATATTCAGTCTCATCTTAATATATGTGAGATTATATTAAAGGATTAAATGGATATGTTAATCTCAAACTAAAGAGTTCATTGGACTGTTCAATAAACTCATCTTAGTTTTTAAGTGTATGAAATCATGGTTATCAAAATACTATCTTGACCACATGAAAATTTATCATCATGCTTTGCAAAATTTAGTTTGTTTATATCTATCTGAAAGAAATTGTGTATATTAAAATAATTTAATAATCACATCAAATAGTTTTACTGGCAAGAATACTGAAGATTTTCTCAAAAATTGCTGCTTATAAACGGACTGTTTGTTTTTCTCGATGGTAAACAAAAGTTTTTAACATATTTTAGAGTAATAGTCATTTATTAGGTGATGTGAACTTTCTTAAATAATATGTAAGGAGTTAATGATGATTCATTTCGATGCATAATTCTAATCTATGTGATGAAACAGAATAGTAAACAATACTCTACTGCATTACTTTCAAAATAAGAATATAAGACAATTAATGACTCAATACTAGAACATCTAGTTGGTTTCAGTCCCATTACTACTCTACAACTGTCTTTCGAAATTGTCTAAACAGTCTGACTAAGAAGGAGGACAAATCGGAATGTTCACTGTAGAGACTTTAGGTTTCATCGTCTCAAATAGAGACTTCATTCACTCCATCCTTGAGTGTATTGATGACACAACGTACTAAAAAGTCTTAATTTCGGTAATTAGTTATACTTTTGGTCTCATCGGTAAAAAACTTGAAAGATCACCTGCGGATTTGAAGAAATTTGCATGAATGTCAGATTGAAAGATGATGCAGTGGAAATCTTCGGTTGACTATCGAAATCAATAAGCAGAGTGTTTTGTTCCACTAAGTTTCATATTATCTTCTCTAGAGGATCTGTGACCCATAGATGTGGTAGACGTAAATTTCACATTAAGGTGTTTCTATAGGTTTACTTTCTTTTGTTAAGCAGATTTTATAGCTGAAGCAAAGCGAAATGTTTGTAAACCTATCTTTTAATGATATTGATTTCAAAAAGAGGATGGGAAACAATGAGTATCTCGGTATCGGAAAATCTTGTCAATCACGGTCACATCACATATCCAGAAACCAGAAGCGTCTTTCGAAATCATTTGCACGGTCGAATGACCTTGCTGATTGGAAGCACAAATAAATAATTTGTTCATTGTATAAGTCTTAACAATTAAGTATTTCAAGCTTAAACTCTTTTTGCAGAGGCAGCATGCGTTATACGTCATTCTGTTGAAGATCGTAAGACTTCTAATTTTTCATACTCGTTAATTGGTTACTTACACTCTTCCAATTTTTAAAACTTATCATTTGTTATTATTGCCTCTGCTTTTTCGGATTTCTTTTCCACCTTGTCAAGTAGATCTTAACCTCTTATGCTTGTGTTTTAATGTTATTATTTCCTCCTAACCTTTGAATCATTACAAAACCTCTTGCGACACTTTGGACGTCAGCTAGTTTATCAATTAAATTACTATAAATATCATAGTATATATTTAGTAAAGAATATTGTTGAAGAGAATATTTACTTCTTCGAGTTGTATTCATTTCATCAATCTAAATTTACTATAAAATGTGTTTCACGAATCAGGTAACTACCTTTGAAAAGGAATAAGGTT